ATTCTCTCTCCTTAGGTGACTCATCCAGTCTCATGATTTTAAATACCATCTATAAACTGATGACTCTCATATTTACAACTTCATCTAGATCTGTTCATTAAACTCCAACTCCTTGACACCTCCATTTGGATGTATGACACCGTAAACTTTACTTGGTCAGAACTGAACCCCTGATCTTCAAGAAATAAGCCTCCCAGAGTCTTACCCATTCCAAGTAAATTTGTTGAAGTCAAAAACCTTGAAATCATCCTTTCTTTCTCTTATACTCTATGAATAATTTGCCAGTAAATCTGTCAGCTTTGCCTTTAAAATATATCCAGAATATTACCACTTCTCCCTGCTATCTTCACTGTTCCCCTGGGTTGAGAGAGCCATAGTATTTTCTAATTGGAGTATTTATATAGTCACCTCCTAAATGTTTTTCCCTGCTTCTGCCCTTATGTCCCTATAATCTAGTCTCAGTACACCTAAGTCAGAGAGAATTTTTTAGAACAAGTATGCTAATGTCCCCTGCCCCCCAGACCCCCAACCCTGGTAACCACTATTTTACTCTGTTTTCATAAGTTTGGCCTTTTCAGATTCCACAGGTGATATCATACAGTATTTGTCTTTTTCTGTCTGACTTGGGATGGGGGGATAGGACAGATGTTTAAGGGTACGAACTTACAAGTAGTAAGTCCTGGAGATCTAATGTATAGTATAGTGAATATGGACAACAATATTGTATGATAATCTTCAAACTTGCTAAGACTCTAGAACTTAATTATGCCTACCACTAAAATTAAGAAATAATAATTACACAATGTGATGGGGTACTAATTATCACTACAATGGCAATCACATTACAATATATGTCTCATATCAACATGCTGTACACAGTATTATATGTCAAATATATTTCAATTTAGAAACAATAATGGCCTGTGCTAATGTCCTTACAAAGGACTCACAGGCCCTAAATGATGTGCAACCTGCTCCATCCATCCTACAGCATCTCTGACTCAGCGCCCCCTACTTATAGTCACAGTGACCTCACACTCATGAATGCTCTCACCTCAGGACCTTTCTTGCTGTTCTCTCTGCTGGTAATGCTCTTCTTTCAGAGGCTCATGAAGTTGGTGGTCCCTCCTTTACGTCCTTGATCAAGTGCCAACTTTAGTGAGAGCTTCCCTGACCACCCTACGCAACACTGCAACCTCCATCTTGCACACTCACTAATCCTCTTCCTTGACTTTTTCTCCACAGCATATATCACTACCCAGCCTCTCCACCCAGCAGAAGCAAATCCAAACCTTCTATAGAGAAATTCTTCAGAGAATTCCCACACACACTTTTCCAAGAAAAATGAGTAGCTCAAGGTAAAAAACAGCCAAGTATATAAGGAAAAAGAGTACTACAAAAGAGGGCCAATAGAAATCGAGAGCAGAGACATATCTGGAAAGACTTTAGATAAGCTGGAGAAATAATTATTGAACTAAAACAGGAGAAATTATTCACAACACAGCACAAAGAGATAAAGAGATGGAAAAAGAATATAAGGAACATGGGGGATTGATATAAGGGCTAATATATATTTAAGTGGAGATCCAGGAGGAAAGGCAATATCTGAAAAAATTATGGCTGACAATTTCCCAGAACTGCTGAAAAGGACCAATCTTACGATTCAAGAAAACCAATAGTCTAGACAGTTTAAAAAGAGATCTATAATCAGATGGTTCATAGTACAGAACATCAAATTAAAGAGAAAAATTTTAAAGCAGGAAAAGAAATTCTTTCAAAAGAGTACTGCTATTCTCAGCAGTAATAATGGAAATCAGTAGACAGTAAATGGTAGCCTCGATGTACTGGGCATTCTATTCCCAGAGAAAGTGTCTTTCAAGGGTGAGGGCAAAATGAAGACATTTTAAGACAAGTAAATACTGGGAGAGCTTACCACCATAGACCCTCACTAAAGGACTGTCCAAAGACAGAAGAAAAAGTATCCCCAAGAGAAAGCCTGAGATGCAAGAAGAGCAAAAACAGTGGAAGGTCCAAACGATCAATGAATTTATAAAACAAAATTGTTTGATAAGATAGAATTAAGACACATGATAACAATGCATAAGCTTAGAGGAATATAAATGAGCAGTGTATTGTAAGGTCTTTGCAGCAGAATTGACATAAGACATAACTCAAACATAAAGATGCATTAAAGAGGGGTGCCTGGGTGGCTCAGTCGTTAAGTGTCTCCCTTCAGCTCAGGTCATGATCCCAGGGTCCTGGGATAGAGCCCTGCATCGGGCTCCCCGCTCGGCAGGAAGCCTGCTTCTCCCTCTCCCACTCCCCCTACTTGTGTTCCCTCTTTTGCTGTCTCTCTGTGATTTTAAAAAAAAAAAAAAATCTTTAAGAAAAAAAAAGATGCATTAAAGAAAAAGTAAAATGATGATAATCTTTTTTTCTTTTTTAAGATTTTATTTATTTATTTGAGAGAAAGAGAGAGAGAGCATGAGTGGGCGGAGACACAGAGGGAGCAGACTCCCCACTGAGCAGGAAGTCTGATGTGGGGCTTGATCCCAGGACCCTGAGACCATGACCTGAGCCGAAGGCAGATGTTTAACCGACTGAGCCACCCAGGTGCCCCTAAAACGATGATAATCTATCACATAGACACATCCAGGAGAAAACTGAAGTAGCTACATTAACATCAGACAAAAGAGATAAAGGCAAAAAATGCAGTACAGAGATCTAAAGAAATGAAAAGATACAGCATGTTCATGCATTAGAAGACTTAACAGTGTAAAAATATCAACTTGTTACAAATTGATCTTTCCATTCAATGGAATCCCAATGAAATTATCAACTTTTTTTCCAACTTTTTTTTAAAGTGAAACTTGATCAGCTGCTTCTGAAATTTATATAGAATGCCAATGGCCAATAAAGTACAAGTACCCAGAATATACAAAGAATGACTACAAATCAACAGAAAAATAAGACTTGAATAGCCATGTCAAAAAAGGAAATCCCAATGGTCAATAAACACATTAAAAGGATGTTCAACTTCTTTAGTAATCAAGGAAATAGAAATTAAAACTACAACTTCTAAACTGGTAAAAATGTAATCTAAGGATGTAGAGATCAATGGGCATTCTCTATTTAGAATGTAAATTGGTTCAATCACTTTGGAACACAATTTGACATTACCCAGTAAAGCTGAAAATATACTTATTCTGTACGTCAGCCATTTCACTCTTAAGTATATAAAGAAACTCCTGCACATAGCACGTAAGTGCCAGGAGATAAATTGAAGAATGCTCAAAGCAGCACTATTTGCAAGAGCTGCAAGTTGGAAAAAACCCATCAACAGCAAGTAAACTGTGGTCCATACTATATAATAATGGAATACTACACAGCAATTAAAGGAAAAAACATGCAACCACATGTATGAGTCTCATCATTATAATGTTAAGCACAAGAAATAAAAACAAAAAGTAAACATTAATTTTTAGGGAAACATATATAGGTGGTAAAACAATAAAGAGTGAAAAAATGATCATCACAGAAGTCAAAATAGTGGTTTCCTTTGGGTTGGCTTTACGATTCTGATCAGGGAGGACCGTGCCAAGGAAGGTGGCAGGCTTCTGTGAGCCTGCGGTGTTGTTCTGTTTCTAGCTGGATGGTGGCTACCTTGTGTTCATTTACAATTATTTAAACTATTAAATATTTATTTTACATACTTTTATGTGTGTGTGATCTATCATACAGTAAAGAGAAAAATGAGAAGGGATGATCCAGTGCCTTCACCAGGTTTGGTTCCCTTTGGTGGCTGACTGAGTACATCCTCTTCTCGGAAAGACAGTATTATTTAGTAGAAAAAGCATTAGAGGACAGAGCTCTCTTAAGTCCTCTTAGGAAGCTCTCTTAAGCACATTAAGTCTCTCTGAACCCTAATTTGTTCATCTACTATAAATGCAAATACTAACAACTGCCCTTATCTCTTGGGATATTTGTGACTATCAATCACAATATACTGAAAAGTGTTTAGAAAATTGCAAACAAAAAACCAATTAACATAGCAGCTTAGTTTCATAATCTGAAATTCAAAGGTTTTTGTTGCACGGTAGCTACGATGACACCAAGAGGTAATAAAATCCCTGAAAATAAACATCAAATTCTAACAATCTTCCAATTCACTTTAAAGAGCATTTTTTAGAAAATGGTACATTTGTTAACAGTAATGAATAAACAAATAGGTTCCATTTTAAGAAAAAACAAATATAAAACATTAACTTAGCCTAAAAAAAATGCTATAAAAGATGCCACATTAAAAGTCTAGAGATTGAGGGGCGCCTGGGTGGCTTAGTCGTTAAGCATCTACCTTCGGCTCAGGTCATGATCCCAGGGTCCTGGGATTGAGCCCTGCATCGGGCTCCCTGCTCAGTGGAAAGTCTGCTTCTCCCTCTCCCACTCTCCCTGCTTGTGTTCCCTCTCTCGCTGTGTCTCTCTCTGTCAAATAAATAAATAAAATCTTAAAAAAAAAAAAAAAAGTCTAGAGATTGAGACCTGCTCTTGTATTTACAAAAGGAAACTTAAGAATGTCCTTCCTCTCCATGAAAAGGAAAAATACACTTTGCTGAGTTACGCTTCTAGCACTTTCTCCCTAATAAATCACAGTCAACACCAATTTTCTCCCTAAAGTGAGTAAAGGAGACCAGAATTAAATAAATGATTTTACTGGGCTTCTTAATCAGCCTTAGTGCTGCTATGGGAAAATTCACAAGAAATTGAGAGGCAAGTCTAACTCACTAAAAGAACCTGAAACATGAAAGGATAAAAGTTTTATGTATTTACCTTGCCACTTGAAAAAACAACATCTACCACAAATATCAACAATACCCTTAAATTTTTTTCATATTCAAACATCTAAAAGATGACAGAGGATGCAAAAATGTAACGTAAAATGATTTTTTACAATGTTGCATTATTTTTCTCCATAAAATATTAATGTTCAAAATTCTACATACCTGAATGTTTTCCCTACTCCAAGTGTGTGGTGTTTTATTGGCAAGTAATTTCAGATCTTGAATAGCAAGTCTCTTTACTGCTTTCCTAGGGTCATTCTTCAAATACTGCAATAGAAGCTGAATCTATGAAAGAAATAAGTCATTCGCGAACAACACTGTCACTGAAATTACCATGTGTAGTATAATTTAGTCAAACTTTTAGATTTGAGACAGAACTCACTTCCAGTTGCAGCCCAGTTAATTAGCTATGTGTTCATGTTTGGGCCACTTTCTCATCATTCACAAAAATATACTTATCCCTTAACTTGTAAGGTTCTAGCGTGGGACCCAGCTCTGAATATTCAACTCTTTCTTTTCTCTCCTGCCAACCCCACACTCTGCCATGTACCCCCACCTCCACGCCATATTCCTAAAAGGCTCCCAAGAATTAGGACTGTGAATACAGAAAAGAAAAAAGCAAATAAGGAAAGGAAAAAGGGAATAAAAGTGATCTTTATCACTTTATCACTTTATCAGAGAAGGGACCTTAATATCATCAAAATTTATGGTTATTTATTTTTTTTTAGTTTATACTTAATATGCAAATTTACTGAAGAAAAGGCAGTTTAAAGAAAATTGAAATTACCTGCTTAGGCGTATCAACTAAAGATGAAGCTGCAAGCAGAGTAAAGGTGTGCAAAGAAACAATCACCATTTTGGTGGAGGGGTAGGATGTGACCAGCTGCTGTAAAAGCTGCCGTGCGCTGGATGCCAGGATTGCATCATGGTGCATGTGCTGGAGGATGGGTATTAACTTCAGTTTCAAGTCCACTGGTGTGGCTAAACCTGGACAGAAAAGGAATCGTTAGGGACAGATTTCTGACGGTCATCCTTGATAATATTTCACATTTAAAAGTGATTCAATTAGGGTGCCTGGGTGGCTCAGTTGGTTAAGCGTCTGCCTTCAGCTTAGGTTGTGATCCCAAGGGCCTGGGATCGAGCCCCGCATCGGGCTCCCTGCTCGGCAGGAAGTCTGCTTCTCCCTCTACCTTTCCCCCCTGCTCATGATCCCTCTCACTTTCTTTCAAATAAATAAATAAAATCTTAAAAAAAAAAAGTGATTCAATTAGCAACATGACCATTTAAAAACAAATAGTATGCTAATGTTATGTTTATGACATTAAAGATAATTATACTAGAGCTAACCCAATTAAATTCAATAGTTTTTTTTCCAAAAGCATTTATCTTAACATTAGTTTTTCAGTGAGTATAAAGCTACATGCTGCCAGTAGAAAACGCCTTTAAAAGGCACAGTAGAAAGCAAAGTCGTATTTGCTGTCTATTCTTTCTCACAACATGCTAAAAAGATATATATATTACGGGTACACATACACCTACGTACGCACATACTCAATGGCTACAATTTAATTATATTTACAATTTTAATTATTTCCTTCACCATTAAGTCAAGATCTGGATGTGAATAGACTGTATGTGGAGGGGTTCTGAACTTTGGGTAGCAGTGCCTTTTTTTTACTGCCTACACAGCTGGAACTCCATGAGGATTAACTCCAATGCATCTTTTGCTGTCAACATTGGAGCTACACAAACAAAATCTTTTCTTCTACAGCATAGCTTTGTGATGACAGAGAACAAAAAAACTGTCAATCATAATTTACTGCATATATGCCAAAAGCTAATTTATACTCTGCAGAGCACTGTTTCGCCATTGTGAAGTAACTGCTAGTGTTAATATATGAGAAGATTTCAACATCCAGGGGTGGCTTACATCAACAAACTCCCTTGCTATTGGGCCTCTATTTAAGTCTGGCCAAAGCAGAGAGCCCCAGGAGATGGGAGGGAGAAAAATGAGGTCAGAGTATTGACTCCCTGGTTTTCTCTCTGCAGTCATACATATCATGCTTATGTTATTAATATTTTGATCCTTAAGGTACCAAATGCATCTGACACTGCTAACCATTCTGTCTTTGAAACTCTCTCCCGAAGGCATACTCCTGGTTTTTGTCCTTCCTCGGGCTGGTCCTTCTCAACCTCTTCATATTTATCTCTTTTATCCACACTTTAATTTCTGGTATTCCTTGGGGTTGGTAATAAATGGTAATAAATTTTCTTCTCACCCTCAATACCTTTCCTGAGTGAGGTGATATAATCCCATGGCTTCCATTATCAGCTATATGCTAAAGACTACCTCCTACCCCTCCACCCTGCCCCTGAACTTCAGATAATATAAATCCCATTACCTCCTGGTCACCTCCACTGGGATGGACAGTTAGAAGAGTCTGTACTTAGGGCCAAAGAGAGATTTAATCTTCACCACAAACCTGCCCCTCTAAAAATTTTTCCCATTTCAGTATATGACAGCCTCATCATTATAACTCCTCAGACCTTGGAGTCTTTCTTGACTCCCTTACTTCTCTCATACTCCACATCCAAATTTATTAGCAAATCCTTTAGGTTCTATCTTTAAAATATAACCCAAATCTGACTATGCCATTCTGCTTCCATTGCTATCACAATGGTCCACTTCCACCACCATCTCTAGACTGATTACAAAAGTCTCCTAAGCATTCTCCCTAGTAGGCTTTTCCCCATGGGAGATTCCTGTCTCCTATCCCTCCCCTCTTCCTCTGTAAATCTGTGCTCCACCCAGCGGTCCATGGAATTCCTTGTGTTTACAGATATTTTTACTGGTTTAGAGACACTCAAGAGATTTTACTTGGCAGAAACACAAGCATCCTACTTTCTTCCTCAAACTCCCCTGCCATTTCCAGATCTTGGGCTCCAGCCTTCCTCCACTTGCCCTCACTGCCACTCTTGTGCTTTATTCCCCCTCTTTCTCTTTCAACCCCCTAGTTCCTGTTCTTTTGCTTTAAATCTTTTTATAGATAAAACTTAAGAAACAATAATGAATCTTAGGTCTATAAATTAATAGGTTTCTACATATCGATATACTCAAATAACCATCACCCAATATACACAATACTCCAGCACCTTAGGAGGCTTACCTATATAGCTTCCATCAATTCCCTTGCTATTTGCCCACTGTTTGGGTTTAGCCAGTGAAGAGCCCCAGCAGGGGATGGGAGGGAGAAGAAAGAGGTCAGAATATATATTCCCTGGATCCCTCTCTACAGGGTCACATCAGGTCATATCACACTGAAGGTCAGTTTTTCAAAGTGGCCCTCTTGACATGACTCCAGGTTTCTGGTAACCACTCCCTCTCCGCACCTTTGGGTATAGGACTACATTATCCCCTACAGTTCACCCTGACTACACCTTTGAACTAACCGTTCCTTCCTTCAACCCTCCTTGGATTATTTTAATTCGAGCATGACATCTATTTCCTGATGCAATCTTGTCTGATAGAGCCAGCGTTCAATAAAAACTGCTCAATGAATGAGGGAGGATGCTTCCTTTTAATGACAGCTTTCTGCAGGACAGCCCTTTTCTGGCAGTGGGGGAAAAAAGGACAAAGGAAAGGAGGACAGGACAAAGCTCAACCACTATATCTTTGTCTTCAAGTAATTTTAATGTGGCTCCATTTCCTCTTCTAATAGACATAACAGTACTGCCTATCCGAGTCTGCCAAGTTGCACAATTCACAGGAATGCCACGTAGAAAAATACAAAGAAGGTGATGCTCTCCGAGCCGTGTAGTGCTGGAGCCCCTTTAGTGACTAGGACGGGAGTAAGTGGGGCCAACACACATGAAGCATAGCATGGAAGATGAGTTTCGAAAAGTAGGGCCTTGAAGGCTATGGTAAGGAATTTGGATCTGAGTTTAGCTGCAAATGGAAGACACTGGAGGAACATTAACAGAACATGGAGAGAGCCTCAGAGTTTCTAACAGCCCTCTGCTCTCCCAGATCAGAGTGCTCTTCCCCTGAATAACTGTATTTCTCACACAAATATCACTTCATTAGAGGCCGTCCTTCAACATATACAAAATATAAAGTGCCCCCTTCCACCTTGGGGTGCAGACTCTACTCTGGGAACTCTTATCCTTCTTACCTCACTTTTTCTCCATGGCAACTGTTATATCATATTTTTATTTGTCTATTGCCACCTCTCCCCCATTTCTGCCACTAGAATGTAGGTTACACGAGGGCAAGGACTCTGTTTTGTTCACTACTGGATTCTAAGCACCCAGAACAGTTTGGGGCATTTAGAAGATGCTTAATAAACATTATCTGAATGAATGAGTGAATGAATGGTGACAAGCACATTGTAAGTACTTAATGTTAAGAGCTATCGATATTAATATAAATCCCAGTAAGTCACTTCATAATACTGAATGAAGCATACATACCTTGAATCATTTCACTGATTTTGTTACAGATTCCTACAGCAAAATCCCTTGGAAAGAGAGAACAGCAAAAAACTTTAAAACCAAAAAAATTACATTTGCTTAAGTTTTCCAAGGACATAAACAGAACACAATCAACACGGGAGAAACATAATACTTCAAATCGTAACTAATATTCCAAACGTCAGGTAGTGGGGGTGGGGTAAGAAATGCAACTGAAACCAAAATTCCCACCAGCAAATGGGCTTATGCCAACACTGTTTCCAAGCGGTATTCAAGGTAAGATGTTCTGATTTATGGGTGCTGTTGCAGTTTGCATCACTGAGTGCCACTGTCTAAAAGATTCAAGGTCATTATCTCAGTCTACGATATTTTAGGATGTGCTTTTGATTAAGAAAAGCTTTTAACACCATAAGCTGATTATATAAGCAATAAAATATATTTTGAATATTCTAAATTTAAGAAAAATAGACTAAGTATGAAGTAGAAAAGCCAAGTAGGAAATATGGGCAGAATATTACCAAAAGCCAAACTATTTAAGGTTGGCCATTGTTTTTTTATATTATATACATTTAAAGTGTTTTCCAAGGTGCTGCTTTTGATTCGGTCCCAATAAATATATCACTGAGTGCTGCAAAAGTTATTAATAACATGAACATTTGGGATAAGACATTACATCATATGTAAGGAAATATAATACAGATAATATGATCAAGCTTGGCTCATTTAGCCACGATGAATGCTATGTAAGATATGAAATACTTCCCCTTTGTAGTTCAATGGATGTCTACATAAAATATTTCCTGCCATTAAGATATTATTTGCCATTTTCAATTCCATTCTCATAAGCGAATAGCACAGTTTTCCAGAGGCTATATGATGTATAATGACATCACCTCTTGACAGCTGTGCATTCTTGTGTTTCCTAGAATTTTCTAAGGTAGTAGGTTCAGGTTTAGTGTACAAATATGTTTTCTGAGATTAACTCAGTTCTCAATCCTTCTCCTGTGCTTTTACTATATTTGACTATATCTATTACTATCTCTATAACATCATTATCATCCAATACATCATTGTTTTGAAATCCTGAAGTTTTCCTTATGCTTACAGAAACATATCAGGAAGTACACATTGCCATACTTTGCAATAAAATTTTGAAAGATTTTTCTAAAATTTTATCTAAAATTGCTTTTTTAGAATTTAACAATATTTTATTCCAAAATACAATAAAGTTTATTTGCAAAGCATTTTTTTTATACTTAAAAATGAATCACTGGCTTGACAAAGAGATTAGAAGACTCATTTTCTCAACCCACAGCTGTACCGTCTAGGTCTAAAGATGCTGAAAAAGGTAAAACTGACATATCGAAGAGTTTTCTAATTCATGGAAGAATCTATTCTAAAGAAAAGCAAAACTGTAAATAAAAAAGAATATGACTAAAGCTATCCTTTGATTTTTCAGATGTTAATAATTTAACTTATTGTGCCTTATGAAATAAGGCATTTCAGAAAGTATTATGGTACCAGTTAACTTGAGGTTTCGTTTCAAGACTAATTATTTAGAATTAAAAAAAAAAGACTGAGTATTTTAAATGTGCTCTTTAAAAGCAAACTATTGATTTTTAAACTAGAAATCCTAACAGGGTAAGTTATCGTAATGCACTGGCTGGAGAAGTGCACATAACAGCTAAGAAACGTCTGCAGCTGACAATGCTGAATACCTGGATGAAAAGTCAGTACAAGACATCAAGCACTGCCACTTTTCAACACTGGAGTAACTTATCACATAAAAGATTTAGCTGCAAACATGAAGACTGAGTTAATAGTTCAACTGCAGAATTTTATCTCTGCCTCACAAATGGAAAATCTACAGACATGGCTAGATGTGCTCTTTTGCTTGTATCAGCATCACCTAATCAGAGAAAATCATCTTGTATGTGAATTCTTGGCAATAAACCGTATTTGTGCTGAAAATTTCAAAGCAAGTAACTTTTTTTTTTTTTAATCTCATGATTTTCCTCGAACACCAATGTTGCTATCTTCACCACTGGTACCAAAGCAATGAGCAAAACTGCTGGTACCTTAGCAAGACCCAAGGCAGTGTCACCAAACTGTCCCAGCAGCCACTGTATTCTCCACCCCTGTGCACTCACATTAAACGGAAAGAAAGGAAGGAAGGAAGGAAGCCAGATGCACTTACAAATGTCCTTGATAAAACAGTGAAAATTACTAATTCTATTGAATTTCAACCCATGAGCAAGTATCTTTTTAATATTCTCTGACAAAACAGAAGCCACACATAAGTACACAGTGGTTGTCTCCAGGAAAAGTACCATGTAATTATTTGAGTTATGAGATGAACTAGACATTTTTTCATGGAACTTCATGGTTATTCCGACTTGGCTATTTGGCAGACATTTTCTCAAAAGATGAATAAAGTCGGCTTGTCAATTCATGGAAAATAACTGGGCAAATTTTTTGCCAATCTGAGTTTCTAAGCAAAAATCAGAATTTCGGAAAACTTGTATCTATCGCCATGAACTTGACAACTTAATATTTAAAGAATTTCCTGACGAGATCAGTGGCCAATAACAAATGTGATCCTTTGATATGATACAATGAAATGGGTCAACATTTGGAAGACCTGCATAAGGCAGTGAACCAATGTTTTCAAAAACGCCAACGCGTTAATTATAAAACCATACATGGGTAAGAGATTCCAACAGATTTCAATGTAATATAGTACAAGTTCACTGATACGATTTTAGAGTCCACATTGCAATTAATCTTTAAGAAACCACCACTTGTCTAGTTCTTGTATAACATCAAAGAAAAATATTCATAACTACCTATAAAGTCTTTAAAAATATTCTTCTCTTTTCCAATTGTATATCTGTGTGAGGCTAGATTTGTTTCATATACTTTATGGTAACATATTGCAACAAAAATGTTGAATACAGAAACAGATATAAGAATCCAGCCAGACATGAAAGAGATTTGCAAAAATGTAAAAAAAAAACAATGCTACTCATCTCACAAAATTGTTTTGTTTTGGAAAACAACTATTTTCATAGAAGTATTTTTATATTAACATATTTAGAGAATTGTTATTTTAAAAATGAACACGTATTTTTAAAATTTTGCCATTTAAATTTCTAATACTGTAAATATCAATCGATACAGTCCATGTAAACAAAAAAAGCTCTTTGAGGACCTCAATAATGCTTGAAAAGTATAAAGATACCAAATAGTCTGAAAACTACCTTTCTAAGATATCAGCTTCACATTTGATAAGAAAAAGTTAAGTTATAAATGTCTTTTAGGTGTAAGATAAGAGGTGTATCGGGCATGTATAGACAACTCATTCACATATCAGAGTGCTCTTATAGTTGTTATTCTTTCTTCTTATTCTTCCTCTAACTTGCTGCCTCTTCATCACTTGGTTTCAGCTCAAATGTCACCTCGTTAGAGAGGTGTTCCCTGATCACTCTACTTAAAGCAGCTCACTCAGGTCATTATAACAATGATGAAACTGTATTATTTTTATCACAAAATTGTTTTATTTTTCCATAACATTAACACACATCTGAAACTATTTTGTGTTTACACAACAATAGGGCTTTTATCTTCTCTACCCCTGTATTCCTGGGTGCTGAGCATACTATCTGGACATGGTGGATATTCAATAAGCATTTCTTCAGTAACTATATACTTTTATACAACTCAAAATTTAAAAATCTGTTATGGGCCTTTAGGGTCAATAAACTGCAAATTAGAAGCCTGCAGTTTTCTTTCTTTCTTTTTTTTCTTTTTGCTACTAATATTTTTTTTAATTCTTAATGTCAATATTAAGAATGTATGTTAATAAAGAGTCTCATATGGTGATAAGACTATAAACAGAATAATCAGATTTTCCAGCTTCCACCCATTCCACCCCTGCCCCTCCAAAAAAGCCAGATCTGACAGCATCAGGCATACATACCTGCAATGTCACAATCATCTGGGGCCAAGGAGTAAGCAGCCACCACTTTTAGGCTGCGAGTGTGTTGTTCAGTTCGGCACAGTGGCCGCTAGAGGGCACCTCTCTCACTAACAATGCTTCCCCAGTTTCTGAAGGCATTTGGGTTTCCAACTCCTGCTTTGCGACCTAGGGACTAGCTCTTTAAATATATAAAATCTTAACCTTTTTAAGAACAAGTTAGATGTGATTATGATAATAGACAAAGGGAGAACAGTATTAAATAAATTCTTAAGGTCTTATTTGGCCAGTTGCTCTAATTTAAGATTCAAAACTGATAGAGATACTAAGACAAAAACCCATTAATATTGGTTGAGATAGCTGATTTCAAGCCAGGTCATCATTTCAGAAGAAGAGGTAAATGCTAATCTCAAAAAGATACAGTTCATTATACAATTAGTTAATTTTACACTCTGATACATTTTGGGAGGCCCTTGAGCCTTTCCTAGTGCACAAATTTGGTATTTTTAAAGATAACAAATTATATCATACTGAAGCCTGGTATGTTAAAAACTGCTTCTATGTAAACCATTAATTTAAATGTTTATCAGTCAATAAATTCTATAAACAAAGAATCATGATTCTACGGTACTTAGTTAACCTTTTCCAAAACAGATCAGAAATTCCACGGCTAATAAAATTAGCTTCTGATAATAACATAAGAGAAAACCTGAACCAAAAATGATTCTCATTAAAATAAAATATAATCACTAAATTACAAATTTATCATCTGAATTTAGAAACTAAATTTAGAAAACTATTTTTGGAGCTACAGGAAATGCAAGCTTACTCAGGTAGATTATAAAGTACTGACACCTTGACAGTGGTAATCAGATAACTATTCACCAGATACATAATTCCTAACCAATAAAAACAATTTTTAAAAAGTTCTCTCAAAAGTAATGACTCTCAATAAGAAAAAAAAATGCCAGTTCTCAAAAGCACAAATAGGACTGTATTTACTCAGATATTTCTCTTCCTCAATTACTGCCACACCTACTAATTTTGAGCAGTACATTAAAAACTACATGCTTTCTATTCTCCATTCTCCTTTTCCAATGAGTAATCCTGGGATTCTGAAGGTTTGATAGGAGCAGCTGAAGAGATGAATACACATATAATTAAAATCTGAAGAGAGAAAGGTGGTGATAAACTGTTCCAAGTTTTATCCAAATTTAGCAGAGATTCTTAATGGAAATGCTATCTTTTTTTAATTTTAAAAGTAACATTTATCTGATTATAAAGCCCAAACTTGCTCCTGACAGTATACACAGAAATTTATAAAAAGGAGAATAAAATAAGATACCATCTTATCACCCAGAGACAGTATTTTGATATATATCCTGTCTTTTTTGTTTTTCATCAACACAAATACCTGTTTCTTAAAAAATATATTCTGTAAAAGCTTATAAGCTATGACATAACCTGTTTCCAAATATACTTCTAAAATATATGTTAAAGAGCTGATATAATATTTCACTGTACGATCATATTTATCTAAGCACATTGGCTGGAAGTTAGGTTGCTATTAATTTGTTTTGTTTTTATTTTATTTATTTATTTTTAAAGATTTTGTTTATTTATTTATTTGACAGAGAGAGAGAGATAGCGAGAGCAGGAACACAAGCAGGGGGAGTGGGAGAGGGAGAAGCAGGCTTCCCACAGACCAGGGAACCCGACGTGGGGCTCGATCCCAGGACCCTGGGATTATGACCTGAGCCGAAGGCAGACGCTTAACGACTGAGCCACCCAGGAACCCTTGTTTTGTTTTTATAACACTACAACTAGCATCCTTGCAAATAAGTATCAGTACACGTTGCTGATTCCTCAGGTTAAGTTCTCAGAAGTGGATTTTCTAGGTCCACTTGAGGGGGTAAAAGGATGAACATGTTTAAGGTAAATGCATACTACCAAAATGCCCTCCAGAAGGCAATGCTACTTTTGATAAAAGTCAATAAAAGGGATAATTTATATTTTTAGAGAGGGTAACCAAACAAGTCAAAGACAGTAACATAACCATCCATGGTCAGCACTGCATAAAAAAAAAAAATTGTTCTACAATATAACAGTGTAGGATACGACATCACAAATAGGCTAGGGGCGCCTGGGTGGCTCAGTCGTTAAGCGTCTGCCTTCGGCTCAGGTCATGGTCCCAGGGTCCTGGGATCAAGCCCCATATCAGGCTCCCTGCTCCGCGGGAAGCCTGCTTCTCCCTCTCCCACTCCCCCGGCTTGTGTTCCCTCTCTCGCGGTGTCTCTCTGTCAAATGAATAAATAAAATCTTAAAAAAAAACAAATAGGCTAAAACTGGTTTCAGCTCAAATTACTCTCTTTGCCAAACGTACACAACTCTAATGCCAAAAAGCTAACCTTGACAAGACAGTAAGAAAGCAGCAATTTAGCATTAGAACCATGTATGTTTGGGGAGGGTGCCTCAGTGGACAAAACTTCTGCTCCCCAATGAAGCCCTCCCTAACTATCGTAATCTATGCTGATCTGTCCTTCTGGAAATTCTTATTCCATGTGCAGTTAACGCCAACATATGTACTTAAGTATTCTGTTTTATGTAATGAAGTTCTGTTTCCCCAACATGACGTAAACCCTCTTAGAAAATACACCTTGCCATTTACATTGCTCTCTTAGTGTTTATCTATATTGATGAGTTAGTCCTTCAAAACCTCTTCTTGGGAAGACAAATTATTAAAAGGCCGATGCTTACTTTGACTGTGCAGAGAAGTTTGCAGCAGCAAAAACAGCAGCTTCGACTTCTACGTTATCATGTGAGTCCAGACTCTGACGAATACTATGATGAGCATTCTTCCTCTCAGGAATTATTGATGCCAGGCTTCCCAACATCCTACAGAGACAGAAAGATCCAAAAAGAATAGAAATAAAATAAGCTAAAAATCAAGAGAGGAAGAAGCGAGACAAAGCCAGATTGCCAAAATTAAAATTTGCAGATAATTCCTTAAATCTCGGGTTAGTAAAACATCAACTTTAGGAATCAAGCAGTGATTCAAATTCCAAATATTTTTCTACACTCTGATGTCAGAAAAATTAACATGGCTTATCTAACATAAGCAAAATTGAAAATTATCATCCTGAAGTACCTCCCAGGTACCAAATAGAGCTCAGAAACTTCTGAATTATTAAAGCACCAAAATATCAATTTTCCAATGTTCTATCAGTCCATTTTAGCAAAACATTTTTGCTATTAAGCAGGTCCAGAAAGTAAAAAAGGTAAGACTCCCAGTCTTTTTTTCTACATCAGTAAATACTGATACCATGATTTTCAAATCTGTCTTCAGCATCAAGAGAACAGAGGCAGAGGACACTCCCTGGGGCTCATTTCAGAATCTGCAAGGATGAGGAAGGTAGCGTCTCGAAAAACGCAATCTACTTTATAATAAATTATAAATTTGGAAAAGGAAAAAAATCTATTGTTTGTAACATAAACTACATAAGACAAAGCTTGAAAGATTTTTTCACAAGAAAGGCATGGATTTTTGAAGGCTGTAAAACACTGCAATAAACAAAACAGAGTTCCTACAGGACAACATTTCTCAAAGTCAGTGTTCTAAGTAACCTTCCAACTTGACATGTCACCACCTACCTATCTTATGGAGATTTGATTGGACATAAGTATTAGAGTTTATACCAAACAAAATACTAAAATGGACTACCATATGTCATTTGTATTCAATTTGAAAATAAGGTTTTGAAATTAGAGGAGTTATTTTTCAAAAGAAATAAACAGCTTGTAATATATTTTATATAAGAAAAGACTGGGCTAATATCAACACATTTTGATTAAGTTTGTTACTATTTAAATATAAAAGAGCAAAAAAAGGCATAATGACCCATTGGTCATTACTTTCTGAAAATATTTCTGGTAATATTATAAATAATTTGTAGCACTACATTTCAAACACTATAAATACCTCCCAGCTTCTTCTTCCATTTGTTTCCATTAAGAAGTCTAAAGTAATGGGTAAAAAAAGAAAACATCTTTAAAATGTCATCTCTTCCTTGTCCTTTCTCCTCTTTAAGTTTGAATCATTCTGACTCTAAGAATTCGTGTTTGAGAGACATCACTTTTTGCTTTCCTTCATGTGTTTAACCTTATTAATACATTCTTCCAGAAAACAAGCTCCTTGAGATCAGAGTTCCCACTTTAATCTATCTTCCTAAAAACAAACAAACTTTCTATTCAATGGGTACTCAGAGTACTTAATGTTGATCTATCACTTATTAGCCACATCTTTTCTTTGTAGACTTTTTCTCCTTAACAGATTCGTTTTTCATCAGCTATTATAATGTTCCTCAATGAAAAATCATGTTCCTATTAAACATTAAGATCTTTCTGTAACACATCTTTTTCTTTACAAAAAAAAGTACTGTAGTCAAGTATTTCACGATAGAAGGAATGAATACATAATCACTTACATGCTTCATACCTTTTCAAAGACAGATTTTAATAGTCAGGTTCTTTACATTTCTATGGTGACCAAAAACTCTTTTTTTTTTGCACATGTTGCATTTTACCATATAGGAAATAAGCGAATCCATTAGGGCAGGTATTACTTTTCTCGCTTTACATCAAGGAAAGTGATTTCTGAAATGTCAACTCATCAGAATGTGAGTTGGGACCAGAATAATTCTCCCTATACATCCAGCCAAACTTCTCTTCAGTTGAGCAGGCTACTGCTTCCCAAATGGGATTTCAAAAAGCTGACATCTTTTTTCTTCTTAATTACAAAAGCACTTATGTTATTTCTCCCTTTTAAAAGCAGAATATTTTAAAAACCTCATAGTTTATATAAACTAAAAGCAATGTACAGTGGTTGGTGACTATCTCAGAAGCACACTCACTTGGTTTCACACCGCCAGCATCTCGGCTGGTCTTGACACTTACCCAGTTCGGAACTCTCCTTATTCTGAGGCATATATTATCTTAGTTACAGACAGAAAATATAAGAAACGATAATGTTGAGACGTAACTTAAGGAAGAGCATAAAAATGGTAGTCATTCTGTTCATGGCTTTCAGGCCCTGAAAGAAGTTTCTATTTTTAAATATGATTTGTAAAGCATATGTCTGATAAAGGAGTGGTATTCAGAATATATCAAGAAACCCTACAATTCTGTAATAAAGAGACAAGTAACATAAAATCTAAACAATCTAATGAAAGAAAACGGGCAAACAATTTGAACGGATTTTTCCAAAAAGAGACAGAAGAACTGTCATCAAAAGGTATATGAGAAAGTGATCATTACCATCATGGAAATGCAAATCAAAACCACTATACACCCCATCAGAATGGCTAAAATGAAGAAGACTTGACAACACCAAAGGTTGGCAAAAGGGTGAAGCAACCAGAGCTCACACACTGTTGGTCAGAATATAAAATGGTTAAGGGGCGCCTGGGTGGCTCAGTTGTTAAGCGTCTGCCTTTGGCTCAGGTCATGGTCCCAGGGTCCTGGGATTGAGCCCCACATCGGGTTCCCTGCTCAGCAAGAGGCCAGCTTCTCCCTCTCCCACTCTCCCGCTTGTGTTCCCTCTCTCGCTGTTTCTCTCTGTCAAATAAATAAATAAAATCTTTAAAAAAAAATAATAAAATAAAATGGTTAAAACCACTTTGGAAAAAAGGTCTGGCAGTTTCTTGTAAAATTAAATATATACCTACCCCATGATTCAGCAATTTGAGTCCTATGTATCTATTTGGCAGAAAGGGAAGCATGTTCACAACAAGTCTTGTACAAGAAGGTTCACAACAACTTTATTTACAATAGCCCCAAAGTGGAAACAGCCTAGGTATTCATCAGTAAGAGAATAAGCTCACATATCATGGAAAACTACTCAGCAATAAAAAAAACCAAATTACTGACATACAAAATGGATTAATCTAAAAAACACTGAGTGAAAGAAGCCTTACACAAAAGGATACCCACTGTATGAGCCCACTTATATGGAGTTTGAAAACAGACAAAAAATTTATCTATATAATAGGAAAAAGAAGAGCAGTGGCCTCTGGGGAGGTGGATGAAGGAACTGAGTAGAAAGCGCAAAAGGGAATATTCTGGAGTAAGTTCTATATCCTGATAGTGGTTGGAGTAAGTTGAAGCATCTATCAGTACTCAGTAAATTAACTAACATTTAAAGAACCAGATAACCCTGTGGGGCGCCTGAGTGGCTCAGTCGATTGAACATCCGACTCTTGATTTAGGCTCAGGTCATGATCTCACAGGTGGTGGGATCCAGCCCCACACTGAGCTCCACGCTGGGCAGGGAGTCTGCTTGAGATTCTCTCCCTCTGCCCTTCCCCCTGCTTGTGTGCATATGTGTGTGCACTCTTTCTCTCAAGTAAATAAATAAATCTTAAACAAAGAAAGAAAGAAACAGATAACCCTGTAAACAAGCTGAACTCTACCTAATGATACACATGCCAAAGTACCCAGCGGGAAGTGTACTATCTGTAATTTACTATGAAATGCATTAGAAAAAAATTTTTGCTCTACTGTTAAAATTTATAATAAAATGTTATTGGGGAAAAAAGGAACCTACTTTTTACTACATTTAGCCCCAAGTCAAATGCATGATTTAAAAATTTTTATTGACAGGGCGCCTGGGTGGCTCAGTTGGTTAAGCGACTGCCTTCGGCTCAGGTCATGATCCTGGAGTCCCTGGATCGAGTCCCGCATCGGGCTCCCTGCTTGGCAGGGAGTCTGCTTCTCCCTCTGACCCTCCTCCCTCTCACGCTCTCTGTCTCTCATTCTCTCTGTCTCAAATAAATAAATAAAATCTTTAAAAAAAAAAAATTTTTTTTATTGACAAATCATGCTTTTTCTTACATAATTAAGGTAGTAAATGACATGGTGCTTATTACTTTTTTAATGGCAAAATTAGTTTTCTTTATACTTTTTAAAGATTGTATTTTTAAAACTTTATAATATGTTAAATAATACACTAAACTAAAAATACTTTTTTACTTTAAGTCATCTTTTCTATCATGAAAAAACTATGAAATCATGAAAAAAATTTTAAGGCTATTCAAAAATGTTCTATTTTTGTGAGAAGGGTTTGATATTCTCATATTGTGTTGATACTAGAATTTTAGATTTGAGTTGTTATAAATACACTTTTTTGGTATTTGATATTTACTTTATAATTCTGCAAACTTCACAAAATGATCTGATCACCCCTTATTCCTGATCTCCAAGCTTTTTCCTCTTCCTAAAGTAACTACTCCAAGAATGTTTTTAAAACAGTCCCTATTTGGCAAAATCATCTAAGGCCTTGTATATCTAAGGATCTTATTAACTGTACTATTTATTTATTTATTAGATTTTATTTTTAAGTAATCTCTACACCAATGTGGGGCTTGAATTTATAACCCCAAAATCAAGAGTCACATGCTCCACCAACAGAGTCAGTCAGGCACCACGTACTATGTTTTAAATGGTAATTGGACTCCTTAATGTTCTTAGCTCAAATTTCTTTTTTTTTGTTTTTAAGATTTTATTTATTTGTCAGAGAAAGAGAGAGAGAGAGAGCACAAGCAGAGGGAGTGGCAGGCAGAGCGAGAAGCAGGCTCCCTGCTGAGCAAGGAGCCCGATGGCGGACCGGATCCCAGACCCTGGGATGACCCGAGCCGAAGTCAGATGCCTAATCAACTGCGCCACCCAGGCGCCCCAACTCAAGTTTCTTTTAATATTTTTTGCATCGTGTTAATGTTGAGAAATATAATTTCAATCTGATTTTTTTTCCTTTCCTTTTTCCTAAATAAATAAATAAATAAATATTCTGGAAGCTTTCTACAAATCTCTGATTTTATTGACAGTAACAGTTCTTCAATGAAGAATTGTGGCAAAGCCCAGTTATCATGAATTGGAAAGAGCAAGCATGCAAAAGGAATGGAATATTCAAATATCAATCGATATTCTTCTCAAAACATTCAAACTAGCTCTAAATTATTTATAAAATCATTCTACTAGTTAAATTGTATTATTTCTTTTTTTTAATTGTCTTCTGATAAAAAAAAATAACCTATGCCTGTGGAAAATGATTCAAACATTGCAAAATCACTCAGAAAAGTCTCTTGTAATCCAAAGCCCAATAACCCCTGCCAAAAATAATCACTGTTAACAGTATACATTCCTTCAGATTCTTTTCTGAGCCTAAATAAACACATATATTAATATTACAGGTAAAAATGAATTAAAAATGGACATTACTTGACTACTTGTTTTTTTTTAACTTAATATCTCCACTTTTTTTTTTTTTTAAGATTTATTTATTTCAGAGAGAGAGAGCATGAGCAGGAGGGGCAGAGGGAGAGAATCTGAAGCAGAATCTGCACAGAGCACAGAGCCTGAAGCAGGGAGCCTGAGCGGGGCTCGATCTCATCACAACCTGAGCTGAAACCAAGAGTCAGACGCTCAACTGACTGTGCCACCCAGGTGCCCCTTAATATCTCTATGTTAAACACACACTTCATTCTTTAAAAGTTATATAGTGGTCCATAAATTATTCCCACACTGACACATGATTTTCCCTAATTTTTCACTTTTTACAAAAATAATACTATGATCATCTGTATACATTTATTCACCAACTTTTAAAAATGATTGACAGAAAAAAATTCCTATAAGTGAATTTGCTGAATCAAAAAGTCTATCTTAAATTTAATTCTGTTCTATTATATATGGTTTTTAAAAGATAAAACCAATTAACTGACTTTAAAATATCTGCTCATAATTTAATCACTCAAAAGGCAGAGGAATGACAAAAGCACTTAATTCTGAACAAGAGGGAAGAACTGGCTCCTGATAGAAAAATTAGAGAAGTGACATCCTAGACTTCATGGTTAAAAAGAGGGCTCACTTCTGGACAAGGCAAGTCAGAAGTGAGCCCTATAATTTAGGAAAGTGAATTTCAAAAGTCTAAAAATTACACATTCATTCCATAGACAGCAGACCTAAAAAGAGAATATGATTCAAGCTGGATATAAGGCTTACAATATGAAATTCTGACAAAATTAAAAAAAAATTGGGGGGGGGCAGGTGCTTGGATGGCTCAGCTGGTTAAGCATCCCACTCTTCCTTTCGGCTCAGGTCATGATCTCAGGGTCGTGGGATCAAGCCCCGAATTGGGCTCCCGCTCAACAAGGAGTCTGCTTGAGATTCTCTACCTCCTCTTCTGCCCCTCCCCCGCTCGTTGTCTCACTCTCTCGCAAATAAATAAATAAAATCTTAAAAAAAAATTTTTTTTTAGATGCCAACAAAGAAAAGGATGGAGAAACTACAGTGGTTCCATCTGACATTCTCCAAGGAGTTCAAATACAAATTACTGCATATAAAAATGAGCACATAACCAAAGGTGAATAGAAAAACTGACATGAAACAGAACAAGTTCAGGAAGGTAAGAGTCCAAAATGAGCTGGGGCTAAGCTAGATTCAGACCCCAGCTGGCTGATCAGAACACCAACCTACAAAAAGAAATGTTTCAAACACAAGTTAGGCAATAATTCACAACCAAAGCAGCATCATAGGTGGTAAGAGAAAAGCATGTACAGATTGGGATGGTTACCATATTTCTGCCCGGAGTATTGGTTGAAAAAACAAATTCTTAACATTCAAAATGAAAAAAGGAAACATATTGCCCTTTTTAAGTACATAACTGCAACTCAAACAATCTTGTGGTGATTCATTATAGCAACAGAGTATACCGGAGTGTGATGGCTCTTGCTACAGGATCATTACTGTGAATCACAGAGAAAATTCTCTTCACAAATTCATCCACATTCAGAATCTTCTCCAAATGCTTCTCACTTTGTTGAGTAACTTTAAGAACACACAGCCTCAGGAAATTGTTTCTATGAAGAACAAGAGATAAAGTAAATTAGACCACTTCAAGAAAGTAATATTTAATTAGGAATCAAAGCAACACTAACGATATTAAATTTTAGCAACAGGCCAATGTTTTTCAATCTATTATTATTTCTCATCATTAAAAGAGCTGAAGCCTACACTTTGGTTTTTGTTGTTGTTGTTGTTTTTAATCCAGGAATACCAGGCTGGTTTAATATTCAAAAATTAAGCAATGTAATTCATAATATTAACAGGCTAAGGAAGTTACATGATCATATCAATCAATGCAGAAAAAGCAATGAACAAAATTCAATAACACATCCATGATGAAACTAATCAAACTAGGAACAGAAGAAAACTTCTTCTTGATAAAGGGTATAAACCAAAAGCCCATAGCTAACATTATATTTAGGTGGTCAAAGAATGAATGCTTTCCTCAGAATTCTGGGGAAAAGGCAAATATGCCAGCTCTCATTGCTCTTACACAACATAGGGCCGGAACTTCAAGCTAGTGCAGTAAGAAAAGGAAATAAAAGGCACACAGATCAAAAAGGAAGAGAATCTGCCCTGATTTGCAGATGACATGATTGTGGGAGTGGTTGACATATTTGATTACTTCACCATGTTGGAAGAGGGATTCTCAAGTTTTTGCTTTTGCATTTGTTAGTGTACCTGAAATGCCCAAACAGAACAAAACATAAGGAATCCTTTTCAAATGTCTGACATTCTTCCTAAGGATAATAATTTTCTCATGTTGTGCACACTGCTCATCCAGGTATGTCTTAAATTTATTACATACAACAAACACAAATGTTCAAACTGTCAGAAAGGTAGTATTTCATAGATTCTGAAGACCAACTGCCAAGACTGCTATCTTGGCTCTGTCTCTCACTAACTGTATTATCACTGTGGACAAATTTAACTTCTCTGCTCAGTTCCATTTCCTCAATTATATAACGCTGAGCAACAGTACTTACCTCACATGTGAAAACATGTGCAAATGAGAAAAGCATCTGATATATAGAAAGAGCTCAGTAAACGAAATAAATATTCCCATTACTCCTTCACGTCTTCTTCTAATCAAATACTGACAACATTACTCACAAAAATTTAGTATGTTTGAGAATTTTCATCAAAGAAGATTATATATAAGACAAAAATTGAGGAAGCAAATAGAAAATTTGTAGTAAAGAAAATGAGATCATATGGCAAAATATTCAACCTCACAAGTTATTTATAAAATGCTAGTTAAAACAGCAATGAAATAACATTTCATAACTAGCAAATCATAAGTAATAAAACTAACAGCCAGGGCTGACTAGGTTGTGGTCAACAGGTATGTGACCTTGGCAAAAGTATGAACTGATAGAACTGCCTTGGCAAACAATGTGCAATACATTTGAAAGGAAATAGAAAACTCATGTCTGTTATATGGGATATTATATGTCCTGTAACTCAGCATTTACAGTGCTGTCTCTCTCTCCTCCCACAGTGGACAGAACGAATTCCAGACTCAATCCTTTCTGATATGTCCTATAGTATCAGTTACCTGGATGTTATCTGACATTCTCAGACATGTATGAGAAGGAAGGACGAGAAATGTTAAAGCCAAGGTCAAGAACTCTAAGCATATATTAGGGAAAGGAGAACATAAAGGAACTAAGACTCAAGTATCAAGAAGGGATGTGGAACTGAAATAACATACTTAAGATCAGAGGAGATCATGTGAGAGCTTTCAAGATTCAGAGTTTGGAGACAATGCTCTGCTGATGTACCTACAGAAAACGGGAGCCACATGTAGGAATCGTATGGTGTTTGGTGGCGTGAAGCCTACACTTAGAATACGAAGCATAAGCAGTTGGCAATGCTGCAATCCTGCTGCAAGACACCCAGATGGCAGTGACAGAGAGAAAAGCCCTGGGGATGAATTAAATCTCCTCCATCATATTATGACCAAGGCCAGGAGGTCAGATGGTCTTCCTCTTCTCTCAAGCTAATTCTACACATCTCTTCTCCTTCAAGTCTGACTCGGTGTGTGTGTAAACACACAAGTGCATGGAAAACAGTAGAAAGAAGCAGGAGAGGGACTGGTGGGGAGGGAAAAAAAAAACCCAAAAGGTATTTATCCAGTCCATCCATGTTTCAGGCACTTCACAGTAACATGTAATCTTGTGTTATAAAACAAGTTATTAAATCAGGAACTTCTCAAAACAATCTGTGCAAACAACAGATACTTCCAAAAGATGCAATAATATATATATTAAGATTATCTTAACTGGATTTATTCTGTTCTCCAAAGAAATAAGTCCTCTCTGACTTGTAACTTCATTTCTGCTTAAAATGCCATTATATTTCACACCAAAAAGTGTTGTAAACTGCCATGTACATCCATTAAAATGGTCACTAACCATGTGGAAGTCCCGAAGGGCAAAAACAATAAAGACCACAACATTATAAACAAAGAAATCTGAACAAAGTACTTTAGGACACTGAGGCTTTAAAAAGACTTACCCAACTCTGAAAACATCTGCTAACTTTAGGAACGCAGAATTGATGAGAATAGGAAATGGATACTTCTGAAAGAGTCTGGGAAAGCGAACAACTGCTTCACACTGTTCACCAAGTTTGCCAGATCTCAGACCTATTAAAAGCATGAAAACGGGAGAACAGCTTACAAACCTGTAGCTACAACAAAGCAAAAATAGCAAATACCCACAGAGCATCACACAGCCATAAAATAACAGTCATTCACAATTAGGTAAGGTACCACTGTAACTCAAGAGCTTTTTAAAAATAAAAACGGCCTATAAAATAGTAATTTGGTAAACTGCCACTTTACATATAAAATAATGAAAAAGAATTTTTTTTCAAAAAAGTTTGAGTATTTTAAGAATATCTGGGGCCATAAAATAAATCTCAGTAAATTTAAAAGGACTGAAACCATACTTTGTTATGTTCTTTGACCACAGTGGAATTAAATTAGAAATTGCTAAGAGAAAAATATCTAGAAAATTCCCAAATATTTGGAAATCAAACAACTTCTAAATGAGCCATAGGTGAAAGGGAAAATTAGAAAAATCTCTTGAACTGAATGAAAATGAAAGCACAATCTGTGCGATGCAGCTAATGCAGTTCTTGAAGAAACATTTATAACATCTAACGCTTTATATTAGGAAAGAAGAAAGGTCTCAAATCAATGGCCTAACAAGAGGCCAAGATAATTCAATGGGGAAAAGATACTCTTTTTAACAAATTGTTCTGGAACAAGTGGCAATCCATAAGCAGAAATAAATAAAAATTCAACCCTTAATTTGTACCATATACAAAAATTAACTCAGAATGAACCACAGAGCTAAATGTTAAGAGTTAAATTATAAATCATGTAAAGAAAATACAGAGGAAATCTTTATGAGCTTGGGTTAAGCGAAGAATTCTTGGGTTAAACAAAGAAATCAAGATACTGTTAAGAGAATGAAAAGACAAGTGACACACCAGAAGAAAATATTTACAGAACACATACCTCATAAAGGACAATGTGGAGGCCGCTTGTAGGCCACAACCTTGAGCAATGGAAACTGAGTAAGGTAAAGGGGCCCACAGCGGCCACTGAGCTGAATGCAGACAGGCCCATTAGGTGACCCACCTCAAAATATCCATAAGCCCTGCCGACCGTGGGCTACTTACAACCAGGCACAGGTACCAAAACAGGAAAACTCCATAGTTCCCATGCCTCTTCACTTCCCCCACTATACGCCACCCCCCTCCACCACTGCTTCCTCACAGTCTCCTCTGCTGTCCCGCCATGCTGCTCCCTTGCAGTGTATTCAATAAACTACTATCTCCTTTGTTCTGCCTTGGGTAAATTCACAACCCACGCCTCCAGCCTCCACCCAACAGGGTCGCTCCACAGGCAGAATCCGTACTTCCTACACCTCAGTAAGACGACAACCTGATTTTTGAAATGGGTGAGATTTGAAGAGAAATTTCATTAAAGAAGAAATATGAATGGCAAATACATGCAAGTTAACAGATGTTCAACACTGCTGGTCATCAGGGAAATGTAAATTAAAAGCCACATTAAGATACCACTACATACCCACTAGAATGGCAAAAAATTTTAAGAATGACATACCAAGTGCTAATGAGGATATGGAGCAACTATAACTCTTATATATTGTTGGTGGGAATGCAAAACTACATGTTTCTTTGGAAAACAGTTCGGCTATTTTTTATAAATATAATCATATACTTACTATGTAATCAACAATCCTACTTCTAAATATTTATCCAAGTACATTGAGAACATATGTCCATAAAAAGATCTGTATCTGTATCACAGCAGCTTTATTCGAATAGCCCCAAACTGGAAAAAACCCAAATGTCCATCAACTGGTGAATGAATAAACAAACTGTGGTCTATCCATACAATGGACTACCACTCAACGATAAATAGGAAACAACTGCTGATTCATGCAACAAGGGCAGATCTCAAAATCACTGTGCTAAATAAGTCAGACCCAAAAAAGACTACAATACTGTATGACTATTTTATAGGACGTTCAAGAAAAAGCAAAACTTTGGGACAGAGAACAGATCAGTGATTGTCAGGGGTTAGAGAAAAAATTGACTGCAAAGGGATACAGGGAAAGTTTCTGGGGTGAAGGAAATGTTCTATGTCTTGACTGTGGTAGTGGTTTCATGACTGCATCCATTTGGTGAATTTTATTATCTATAAATTATACCTCAAAAATCTGATTTTAAAAATGTAAAAAAAAAACCCCAACAAACAAAAAGTTAATGTTCAATCCCTAAAAAATATTCATTTAGAATGAATATCTTTATATGGTATTAATAGCATCCGCTTCAAATATTTTTGTTATTTTAGCATTTATAAAATGCTAATTATATCTATATTCGTACAAGAGTAAGTGCCCTCGAATATCTCTGTTCAATAAACTCTGCTCACTGTTAAAAAACGACAAAGGAAATACTCCTCTGAGGACTCTTTATTGTCACTATGTTTCAATACAAAGGACAACCACAGAGGAAATCTGCATAGGCAATTTCTACAACTTATTAATGGTTTGAGTTCTGTAAATGCACTCATGTTGGTTATTTGGTACTTGGAATATATTTCCTCGTAGGAAAAAAAAAAAAAGCACTATCAGCACTCATCATATTCCAGAATCCAATAACCACTTATAATAAAAGTTCCTATGGGAAAATTAATTCAAAATTAATTCAAGTTTCTCATGGAGATATTTAGAACATATTCCTTCTTTGTCTGCTCCCTTCTTCCCCTACCCCCCACCTCCATACACAGAAGAACTGACACTAGAGCTCCTGGAGTCATCTTCCAGCCAAACACAGTGCCAATGGAAATGTTCTAGGTAACTGGCTGTGCCTCATGTAGCCTTAAAAGCTTTTCTAAAGGCCTGACTTGACAAAGGGGTCAGGAGACACACACACAGGCAGCAAGGACAAAGGGGAAGGGGAGAGGAGGAAGGCCCAAGTCTGAGGATGGAGGTGAAAGAACAAAGGAACAGATGTGTTTGTGTGTGTGTGTGCGCGCTGTCGGAATCTGTTGGGACAATCCACAGTGATCGGGACTTTTTTCCTCCTCTTCTTTCTGCCAGTAGTTGAGTGATGGAAAAGGGAGTAAAGTTCTGCTTGTAATAAATTAACCTTGGTTGGGATGAAAAATGTAAAATAGGAGGCAGCCCAAGTAGAGGGAGTTTGCTGACAGAATATGATCTGTTTCACTTTCCCTTAAAAAACACAACCACAGACTACATTCATTGGTTTAAATATGATGATTTAAAATGTACCAAAGATAATTTTGAATCTGGCCAGAGAAATGTTTTGATTTCTCTAATACTGTCAAATTTTACTTCCTTAAGATAAAATAGACCCTCATTCCTGTAACAGGGCCAATCAGAATAAATAAGTTAAAGAATAGTAAATTTCTTGCTTAATAACTGATGTAAGAGCTTTAGGAAAAAGGAAATAAGCAAGGCTGGTTCTGAGGGACAGAAGCTAAGGTACAAGAGAAGAGAGAAATGTATCAAGACCTAGGATTTAGCAATAATCCCAGGCTGAAGCAGTATGGTACCCATCTTGCTTGCTCTGGGCCCATTTCAATTCCAGAACAAGCCAAGCAGCTGAAAACAGGCACTCAGCACGGTCAGATCTTGTTCTAGGAATTGTTCACTTTATTTCTGTTGCTAGCTACAACCAACCTAAGGAAGAATGCCCTGATCATAAGACCAATGATAGTGAGAATGTCACTATAAAACCAGAGATTAAGGTGGAGGGATGCAATTGCTGTTTCTACATCTTTCTTTGTATTCTCCCACCAAAGAAATAGAGCTCTCTTTCTTTTCAGTGCCTGCAATTAAACAGTGCTTAAATCAGTTGCAACATTCAGGTAGACTAGGGAGAACTAAAATAGGTTATCTGTAAATTGCTTATTCATTCAAACTTCATTTGACAGCAGTGAAATTCATTATTCTAGACTTACTTAGCACTTAACATGTGCAGAACATTTTGCTAGTTCTGCATCAGAAACATTTGTAAAACTTTTCAAAAATACCTGTGCCAGAGTTTTACTCCAAACCTACCAAATCTGAGGCTGGGGCCCAGGCATCTGTTTAGCTACTTTGAGAAGGCAGGAACTTAGATCCTCAAGCTATCCTCCATCACTTCTCATCCTATTTAACTGCCCTGCCTATACTGGAGTTAGAAAACTAATAGTTTGCTGAATTTGGCACTCAAATTTCATCTGATAGACAACAATGTTTTTTAAGGGTTTTGAATTAATTGTCAAATTTTAAAAATGAAACGAGATTTCAATAAAACCCAGAATTTCTGGTTTTGAAATTTTTTTATTATGTTATGTTAATCACCATACATTAGTTTTGAAATTTTTAAAGATCTGCAATGTCACTAAAGAAGGTGGGAGTCTTGGGATGCCTGGGTGGCTCAGTTGGTTAAGCGACTGCCTTCGGCTCAGGTCATGATCCTGGAGTCCTGGGATCGAGTCCCACATCGGGCTCCCTGCTGAGCAGGGAGTCTGCTTCTCCCTCTGGCCCTCCCCTCTCTCATGTGTGCGCTCTCTCTCACTCATTCTCTCTCTCTCAAATAAATAAAATCTTATAAAAAAAAAAAAAAAAAAGAAGGGGGAGTCTTGACCAAAGAAACACTGTAGTATTGCAGGTCTGTACTGAAGGCCCATTTGGGCTTGATAATCATTTCTGGTAATAGCCATGTACCCTACAATCTTTCTCTAGCAATTTTTGGCTGCCTTTGGGCACACATAACCAGAAGAGAATCTTGGATGAGAATTTAAAGTGCTAGTAAGGGGGCATCTGGGTAGCTCAGTCGGTTAAGTGTCTGCTTTTGGCTCAGGTCATGATCCCAAGGTCCTGGGATGGGGCCCAGAGTTGGGCTCCCTGCTCAGCAGGGAGTCTGTTTCTCCCTCTGTCCCTCCCCCTGCTCATGCTCTCTCTCTCTCTCAAATAAATAAATAAAATCTTTCAAAAAAATAAATAAAATAAAGTGCTGTTAAGAAAGTTAATGAAGTTAATAAAACGTGGCACCATGAAATCTAAGCTCGATAAAGAAGAAACAACAGGAAGAGTCTTTTGGGTAGGGGAAAGTAGACAGGTGAATATACTGAGGTCTGAATGAAAATAAAGAATGATCAATATAGCAGTTCGTCATGATGATGGTGATGGTGCATATTATGTGCTTATTCTGTGCCACTCTACTAAGCAATTTACATGAATTAAACTCTCACTGCAATCATAGAAGTTAGGTACTATTATTATCCCCATTTTAAAGATGACACAGGCAGACTGGTTATGCAACGTGCTTAAGAAACAGCTAATAAATGGCAGACCTGGGATTCACATCCTGGCAATCTGGCTCCAGAGTCTATGGTCCTAAACTATTATGCTAAAATACATCTCGAGCAAGTAACTAACTAGAGGACAGAGGCTAAGATTTTAAAAGGGATATTTAAATTATGATTTTAGAGTGGTGTAATTCTGAGGACAGAAAAATTCTAGGGAACTGGGAAGAATAACATAAATGATGGTAAACTTGGGGATTGTTATGTACAGTAATCAAGTTTTCAAAACAACACACATTTCCAGGTAGCACGTATCAGCCAGAGTTCTTGGCTTTAAGCAACACAAGCCAACTGGCTGATAAGGCAGAACATGGGTTTATTAAAAACTTAACTAACAGTTTCAAGGCTAAACATCTATGAACACCTACTACCACACTGCCTGACTGATTAGATGAAGAGATGTCCTGTTGCTAGGAAACACCAGATGCTACAATCAGCTCTGCTGACATCCAGGAACCCTGTAGCCATTGCCGCTGTTACTGTCCCCTAGGAACACCACAGCCGCCGTGGCTGCCAGGGCACAGAACTGTGAGCCTGCTGTCCAACTATGCCTTCCTAAAGGCATAGTTGGAGAGCATAGTTGGATTTTGCTGAACTCCTAAATCACAGAGGCCAGAGGAGGTTTGTCTGACCAGCAGGGCCAAGTTCACATCCTGCGCTCTTGCAAGGGAAGCCAGGAAGGTGAACTTTGGCTTCCACCCTGGTGAGGCAGGGCATATAGTGTGGGTCATTCCTCAAGCACAGGAGGAGTGACTACAAGATGCTAAGCGACCACCAACACGAGGAATACCCATTACAAAGAACACTGCTAATACACATTACCTCACAAGCACATTTTAGAAGAGTTTGTTATACACATTAGCTTTAGCTAAGGTGTGAGGATGACTCAAAAAGGAAACATAATACATATATATCTTAAAGTGTATTCATTAAAAATGGGGGTAAGAGCAGGAAAAAATAGGAACACAAGTATGCACCACACATTAGAAGGTAACCTAACAACCCACAGCTTAATAAATTGATAATGTCTTTAGATTTGGTGGGGTTATTAGATATCTGGACCTGCAACTCTTACTGGGGAATAAGGAAGAAATTTCCAGGATGGAAAGAAAAGGGTTATGTAGTGTTTAAAAAACACATCTAATATTATAATTTTATATTTCATAGAGGAAAAGCCCTACAGCTTTGGTAAGAGAAAGTAAAAAGTTCAACACCATTTTCTTGACTGATGAGGATGCACTAAAGATACTGTGACTCAACCAAAGAATATCTCATTGGAGTGCTGTAACATTTTTATGTTGATCAAAAAGAGTTAAAAGCTTTTTAAAAAGTCTAAGAAACTCTTATCTAGACCTACCTACTAGAAATGTTTACAGGTTAAAAAACAAAACAAAAAAACCGAAATCCCAAAAAAGTTAACAAAGTGTCCAAGTCAGAGCAGGGAACTGGCTCAAAGTGGACTTAAAGAAGATCCTTCTAACCTGTAGTCCCAATTCTCAATATATTATATATTGGCTATGGTTAATGAAGAATTAACTGTATACCAGGTGACAAAATGTTTCCCCCATTCAATAAAAATCACTGAAACAAAGGTTTAATATTTGAGTTCTTTACTGTCAAACATTTGCCTCTGCCTCCCACAGCCTTATATAAGAAGGCATATCCCTTTAGCATTTAGTAAAGGCTTCTTTTACATACAATTATATATCACTTAATACTTGCAAGTCTTGCAACCTCAATGGTACTGCAATTTGTAAACAAAAAAAACGAGGTTAGGTGAAGTTAGGTGACCTGTCCATGATCATAAAATTGGTGGCACTGTAATTCGACTCAGTCTAACTCCAAAGCTCCTTCCACTACACCAAGCAGCCCTCCCACCTTCCGCAGCCCTCCCCCCTTTCACACCCCTCCCCCATCCCACAGGAAAACAGAACTCGTGGAATTTACAGAAAGAGGAGCTATGATTTTCGGATTTTCTTGGCCGTGTTTAATGTCTAGTAACCCGCAGGTAAGAATGACAGAAATAAAATACATCGTTATAAAGTGGGTGCAAGATTATTATTCAGCACTCTTGATGAAGACCTTGTCTCAACTGAACGTACTGACAATTTCACAATTTAAATGTAGCATTTTTACAAACTGCTTGGAAAATCGGGGTACTGTGCCCTCAAGCGGTCAAAGAGGGCCCATCACTGGAGCTCACTACTTGTTCACTGGTGCAAAGCCAGACCTGCAACGCTGCAATTTTTCTGCAATCTCCCAAAGCTGCAAATACTCTGGACTCACCAAAATCATAGGTACCCGCCCCCGCCCCCGCCCCCGCCCAAGGAAGCTAGGCGCATGCGCCTGGCCGGCGGCTACTACCACCTGGTGGCGCCACAGCCCCCCACGCCCGTTTCACCCGCTCAGCCCGCTCTTTCGAATACCTTTGTCTAATTCCATAAGGGCAGAGTTAGCATCCAGCTCCTGTTCGCCATAGCCGGCATCTGCCAGGAAAGACTTAGTTGAGTTTGACGCCATGACCCGAATAGTCACTCGACTAGCCTATTTAAAAAGATTGCAAACTCTGCCCCAGCACCGCCATCTTCTTCCACCACCTTCTCGCGGATTTTTCCTCCGCGCTCTGTCAAGCCCTGTTACGCATGCGCCCTGGTCTCCCCGCCGTTCGCCAGCGCCTCTGCGGCCCCCCGCGCAGGCGCTCAGGGAGCTCCTGAACTCTGGGTTCCCGCGGCTCAGAGAAAAGGAGGCGGGGATTGGAAGGGGGAAGTGACTCGGAGGCGCCCGGACGCCGCGGTGGGAGCCAATCAGAGGGCGTGACGTCAGTTTGGCGGGGAGTTTGGTGGCCGGGGCTTACAGTGGCGGGAGTTGGAGGCAATAACTAGTCGTGTTCTGAGGGGCGCAAGATACGATTTCTGCTGAACCTGGGGGGCATTTCCACGGCTTTTCTGTCAGTTGAACCTTTTCCTCTGGCCCAGATGCTTTTCAATTCGGTGCTTCGCCAGCCCCAGTTCGGCGTCCCGAGAAATGGTGAGTAACGGCCCTAACCGCTTCTTCTTGCTGGCGGGCTTCACCTCCCCCGAACAACACGGCGGACCAAGGCCGACTCCAACTCTGTTTCCCAGTCCCCGACTTCTCCCACGGCCAGAGTGAGTTCGTGTTAGCGAGGACTACTGAAGAAAGCTGCACTTTCTTGCCCTTGAGACACTTTTAATCGTAATCGGGATTTTTTAAATCGTTATGTGGGCTGACGGAGGGAAGTAAGTCGAATCGACTGGCCTTCTTTACGGCTTCTGTCTATGTTGCACAGTAACTGGAAAATGCGTGCATTTGTGTGTGTGTGCGCGGTTCCACAGCTATGGGAGATCGTCAGGACTCGTGTTCACTGATTGATTTGTTGATTCATTGATTCATGTGTTGTAGAACTTTAGTGAGCCCTACTAGTCGCTTATATATACTTGCGAGTGTGACCCGCTATTAAGGAACTCATTCTAGCCGAGAAGACAACATCTGCTTCTAGCATGGTCAAAAAAATGTTCCCCCCGATTACTACATGTGCGTAAAAATACGAAATTACAGAGTGAAAAATGCCCATAACCACATCCCCCAAAGATAACCACTTCGTGATAGATTAGATTATTCCAAATGTTCTTCAATGCCAAAAGTAATACGTATTGTTATTTACAGAAATGGGATCAAAATGTTTTGTTTGTTTTGTTTTTCACCATAACGGTATAACTTGGGGGATATTTCCATAGTATGTAGAAATCCAACTTCCTCGCTACAGTTCTTGAGGTTCCTTAGGTTAAAACATCGGCAGTGGGAGTTTTGAGCTTAGGTTTGGGTGTCATCGACCTGAAACTTTCTGGTAAGTTTCTGAGGCGGGAGTTACTACCCAGACTTAGGATGGATACAAATGAAATCTCATTCATTTAAAAAGGGACTAGGTCTTCTTTCCCCTTGAAACCATGTGGAAAACAAAAAAGAATCTGAGAAGGAAACTTTTTATATCAAGGCAAAGATCTAGGAAGAGGATATTGAGACATAGACTGAGGAGCAGTCCCACAACTTCCTGCCCCCAATCTGAACTTCATACCTTTCTCACATACTTCCCCCCCCCCCCCGCCCTCCTCCCAGGTAATCTTTCTGACTATACCCTAACTGGCCCTCTCTCTGACTCTCTTGGAACCTTGTTTGGGTAACTTCTCTATGCTCTGTGTCATGAGTGGCAGTACTCCCCAGTGATTAAGGTCTCTGTCTTTGGAATTGAACTGCCAGAGTTTTAATTCCAACTCCAGTCCTTACCACCTGTGAGACCTGGGGCAAGCTATTTATTATACTTAGCCTCTATTTTGTAACAGATACTCTCCTAATTCCCCAATCTTTCTGTCTACTTCCCCCCTCTCTCTCATTTACAAATACTCATTTATTGTTATGTGTCAGCCAATGAATGAAATTCATTCATTGGTATAGATTATGCACTGAACTTTATAGGACCATCTTCTTTCCCCTTCTGAGTGTTCCACTCTAGGCCCCTTTTGTCCTTCTGCCTACTCCCATGGATGAGCCACAACCATGGCTTCTTCTACTACTACTTGTAAACTTCCATCCCCTATATTTTACATCCATTCCTATAAAAGCTGTGTGAGTATCTTCATCCAGCAGGTCGGTCCCACAAACATCTCAAACTCAAGTACTCAAAACAGCTCACTTTTCCCCAAACCTGCTATATTGCCTACTTTAGGGAGGGGTCCCAATTATTTTAAACTAGTCTTCCCTGCCGGAAACCTGAGTCAATCAAACTTCCCCTGTTTTCCTCAAGATACAGGAAGTTCCCTTAAAGGTCCCTTAAAATCTCTTGAATCTGTCCTCTCTCTATTCCCACTGATTTTGCCTCATCACTCTAACTTGGATCTGTTCTGTGCTTACCATTCCATTTCCCTAGGTTGGGCCCTAATAACTACTTGTCTGTATTATAAGAAGGTTCCCAAATGGCCTCTTAGTTTCCCTCTCTCCAGTTTATTCTCCACATTGCTGCCAACAATCTAAAGTGGAAATCTGATTACTCTTCTATGTATTTTTAAGTTGTTATCTAAAAGTTTTTATCATAGGTTTAAACTTACTGAAATTTTAAAATAAAAATGCTATGTCATTTAAAATGTATCTAATAGACTATGAATACTATAGTGATTTGATGATCATATCAGTCCTTTTTTAAAAATATGAACAAACTCTTTAACTGCCAAATTTTCTAGGTACATTTCAACCTTGAACAGCATAAGGGTTAGAGTCACCAAACCCCACACAGTCAAAAGTCACCTATAACTTTGACTCTCCCAAAACTTTACCAATAGCCTCCTGTTGACTGGAAGGAAGCCTTACCAGTAACATAAATGGTCAATTAACACATTTTATGTTATACATATTGTATACTGTATTCTTACAATAAAGCTAGAGAAAAGAAAATGTTACTAAGAAAATCATAAAGAAGAGAAAATACATTTATAGTACTATATTTGTGGAAAAAAATCCATAGATAAGTGGACTCACACAGTTCAGACCTGTGTTTGAGGGTCAACTATAGTTTTTTCCCCCTTGATTTTATTTCCACTTTATTTTTCTCACAGAATTTATCCTAATGTATTTGATTCTAAGTTTGAAAAGTTATTTTATTGATCACGCTGTCATACTCCTCTGTGAAAAAAATAAACTCGGTATTTTCTGTAATCATAAGGCTCTAAATGTCGAGCGTTTCCTCTGAATTGAATTGTTACAATTATTAGTATGCAAATGATCAAAACAGTATAGACTTAGTTTTGATAAATAAATGAAGCAAAAAGTAAAATTTTATTGGAAGTGTATCTTTTGAAGAAATAGATTTGGCTGTTTATGATGCCTTTATTAAAGGAATTATCCTATTGTCTCTTAGTTGGAGTCCCAGAAGTTTTTGTACCTTGGATCAATGCAAGGTATAAATTGGGGCATGGAAATGCCTTTCTTTTGAAAAGTGGAAGAAAAGCAGTGATGGAGAGGAGGAAAAAGAGCTTCAGCCTTCTCAGATCAGTTATAGAAATGTACCTATATCAACTGATTCTCTGAAAACTCATGTCCTTGGATACTCCTTGAAAAATTGGCCTGTAATTCCAGGGGCTTAAATTGTACATTGAGGAAAGAATAGGCTTTTCCAAATGAGTGTCTTGGGGGAAAGCATTATATGTTCGTGTTGGAAGCAGCATAGCACAATAAGGATCCAAAAGTTGCTTAAGAGACCAGTCCACAACTGTGTCTTGTAGAGAGTGCAGAAATGGAGGGACAAGTTACTAAGCCATGTTAGGCCATTTGTTGGTGTTTGGGTATTAGTCTGTAGGCAGTGAGGTAGAGTTGAAGGAATCACTGTTTAATTGCAAAGAATTAGGTATCCAGAGCTTATCATGTTCAGTTCCGACTGAATTGTTCAAGATTTGGTCCTTTTGAATTTGTATATTGCAATCATTAGATTATTATTATTTTTAATCTCAAACCACAAGTGTACATATACAGAGGTTTTTGTTTTAAAATTCATTCTGTAGATGGATATTTGTGAACTCTACAGTATAACTATTGTATTCTTTCTTTAGTGGTCTTTTAATAAAATAGCTTGTTTACACTGATGCCTGACCTTGAGGTAATAACCCCAGGAATAATTACTAAATCTGGATTGTATTCTTTGCCTCTTTTGTACTGATTCCTTCAGGTTATCTCTAGGAACATCAAAGCTAGATTTGTCTGAGATTATATCAGACTGAGATGTCTTCTCCAAAGGGTATTTTTGATGAAAAGTGATAATTGAAAGTACCCTAAAATGTGAGTTTATTAAACAGCTCTCAATAGATTGTAACTTCATTGTTTCCTCTGATGCTTAATAAACATTTAGTTCTCAGTAACCGTTTATTTAATGTTTCTTTTATATATTTAAAATGTGTTGACCTACGTATCTAAATAATAAAACAAATCTTTGAAGATTGCTCATTACTTATTTAGGACCATAGTGCCCATTAGATCTCTGACCCAAGCAGAATAAATGCTCCCTCTACCCTGAATTTCTTCCTCTGTCTTGTATATTCAGTAAAAACTTACTCATCTCTCTACACATTTGATTTCACCTACTCTATAAGACTTCCCTGACCCTATTACTAGCCAGAATTTAATTGATTGTACTCTAGGGGTGGGTACATAATGCCTCACTTTAAAATTGCTCTAATGTAATTTAAGATACTGTGACTTGTTAACATTTTAGAATCCTAGAATTTCAATTGGAAAGAGGAAGTGAAATTAGAATTTACTTGTGAATATGTTAGTAGCTAGGAGGCAAATTTACATAAATTATTTCCTTTAACTCTTTGACCATTGGATTATCTATGATGTTGCAGGTAATTAAAGAGTTTGCAGTAATGTTATTTAGAAACTCTGGAAACAAAATGTTAATTGAAGAGAATGGCAGTTTTAATGGTTGTGGTAGTCTTTGTGGTTGTGTTTTGTAGTTGTCACCAAAGGGTGCAGGAGGGGTAAGATCTTTTTTAATGTGCAAAGGCCATTTGTTTCTTAAAATCTTCAGTGTACCAGCAAGAGTCTCCATTTAAGATGGTAAGCCCAAACCTGTACCTCACCAGAAGTTGAGAGTGCCCTTTATTTCTACCTTAGGACCCCTTAGGAAAATACCAGAAACTGTATCATAGAGGACCCTGAATAGTGAGTGGATTTATATAAAGTATATAAAGCTTTTAAAAACAAATATTTACCTCTGCACTTGTTAAAAGTATTGAAATGTGATAATATATTGAAATTCTATAAAGAATTGTGTCTTACTTTAGGATGGTCTTCCCAGTACCCTCTTCAGTCCCTTCTAATTGGTTATCAATGCAACTGTAATGATGAGCACACTTCTTATGGAGAAACAGGAGTCCCAGTTCCTCCTTTTGGATGTACCTTCTCTTCTGGTAAGAGAATTACTATCTAAGCTAGGCTTGCTCAGAAATGATCTATTTCATATTTAAAGAAAAATTATACTGGAGTGTCCCTTTTTCAAGGAAAAGTAGGTTAGATAGATGGTAGAGTTTTTCTAATACCTGTTCTCTGATTTATGAAATAGGCTTTTTAAAATCTCTATGCATAATTATATATTTCCTCTAAAGCATAGGACTATTACAGCATTGGTTTTTTTGTTTGTTTATTTTTTTAACTGGTACCGGGAAAGGATTGCAAAGGTTCAGCCATCTTGAAAACTGTTTTGCCCAATGGATACACCTTTTGGTCTGATGGACTCTCTCTGTGATGCATTGGGGAACATATGAACAGAAATAGAGTACTTGTCCCCACTGTTAATAGTTTAAGAGGGGAAAAGTAAAAGGGTATGAAAAGGAAATTTAACTAATAGACTCAACCTGCTGATGGCCTATGTCATATACTTTTCTTTGCCATTGGTCAGTATCACTCTTGTTTTATTTAAGTACTACCCTTCTCTAAATAAGAGATTATCTGAAGGTAATTTTGGTGGTTTTGAGTCATTTACTGAATTAGATATTACGGCAAATTTTAAGCAATCTTTAATTCAAATTACCTCTCTACCATATCAAATGCTATTTGGGTAGAATCATCTTCCCTCTTCAGATTCTTTGTATTTAACTTGTAGCTTTCAGTTAATCTGTATTGTATTGTTTTTATAGCTTTATACTCAGCTTTAAAATTTTTGTATTACTCTTTATCATGTTCTTTATTTCTTATTTAGCTCCCAATATGGAGCATATACTAGCAGTTGCCAATGAAGAAGGCTTCGTTAGATTGTATAACACAGAATCACAAGCCTATAGAAAGAAGTGTGTCAAAGGTAAGTCTAGGCCTAAAATTTTTGTTTTAACATTATATTAAATTCATAAAGCCTCAAGTAAATTGTTATTTGAATGTATTCCCAATTATATTCACTTCTAATGAAGTCTATGTAGGGACCAAGCTGAAAGAAAATGGTAGATGGTCCTTCTGTCAATAATATTATAAGTACAGCAATACCTTTACTGAAAGTTGAAAAAAAAAAAATTTAGGATAAAGAACGGTTCTTCTTTTAAAAAGTTAAATCTTTTACACTTGATGTGGTTGGGGGAAACTTTACTTTAAAATATTTATGTTGACCAAGCATCTCCCTTATATAAGGCAAAGTTCTACTGAACTTAAGAAGCTAATAATTTGGAACTAGTTAAGTCAAGTGTGGAAATAAATAAAACAGGCTGCAAATGATATAGATGTAGAAAAAAAATGCCACGGTTGTCAAAAGGAAAGGTGTCATGTAGTAAAGATGACAAGGACAATTTTTCATGAAGAGTAGAACATTTGAGTTGAACGGTGGTATTTAAACCTAAGGAGGTGGGATAGGACATACCAGGTGGAAGAGAAAGCATTAGCAAAGGCCTAGAGATAAGAAAGCATAGGCTATAATTAGGGAATGGGGAGGCATCCAGTTTGGTTGGAATAGGTATGTGGAGATAGTGAGAGATAAACCTTGCAACAGAGATAAAGGCCAAAGCATGCAGAACCTTAAATGTCAAACTACTTTAGATTCCATTCAGAGAGCATGATGAAGATTTTTGAACTGGAGAATATTTCAGAAAGATTCCATTTTGGAGAATATATTACTAGTAACCTCATGGAAAGGAATTTGATATCAAATGGTAGTTCTCTGTAGTAGTGAAGGAAATATGTAAGTTCTGTGAATATACAAGTTCTCTTTGGCCTATGAATTATAGGGCGCTGATGACTTATTTTTTCACTCTGGCTTTCAAGAAATTCAAACTTCTATTGATATGGCCCTGAATGTAGTCTAGACATTTCACAGTCACCATTTTCTTTGTTTAGAATGGATGGCTCACTGGAATGCTGTCTTTGACCTGGCCTGGGTTCCTGGTGAACTTAAACTTGTAAGTGACTTTCATTTTATTGGAATCTGGGTAAATACTGGTAAAGCGTTGCTTTATTAAATTGTGATACCTTATTTTTTGAAAGGTTACAGCAGCAGGTGACCAAACAGCCAAGTTTTGGGATGTAAAAGCTGGTGAACTGATTGGAACGTGCAAAGGTCATCAGTGCAGCCTTAAGTCAGTTGCCTTTTCTAAGTTTGAGAAAGGTAGGTCTGTGCCTATCCTCTTTCATGTCCTTAACCTCCTTCATGGTGAGTTAATAAGAAGCTTTATTTCCACCCTTTCCCCTGTCAGAGTTGCTATTTTTCCTCCGTTGAGATTGAGAATCTCATGACTGAAATCCTCCATGAAATTAAGTTGACTTTTAGTCCCATTCTTATGGATATTATCTCTAGCCTGTCCCTGTAAGTTAAGAATCTTCAGATAATTTTTTTCTATAATCTTGAAGATAAGGTAAATACTTATAAACAGCTACAATACCTCTGTTCAACTTTGAGTGTCCTTTAAAGTCAAAACCCTGTACTGGACACTGATTAACTCTATTTGTAAATTATTTACTTTAAGTCTACTAGTAAAATTTAAATTAAATGGAGTGTGAGGCTAGAGTGGAAAACCTGGTAAAATGGACATGATTCTCTACCTAAAAACTTACCGTTTAATTACTTTAAATGGCCCAATTCCTTAGTATGTTTTCAACTATTATTTACTATATTTGTTTTACTATTAAAGTGGAAAAGCAAGACTTAAAGAGTGATATAGTACAGAGCAGTACTAAAGCAGCTAGGGAAAAACTTAGAAGTGTCTGAATTAGCTCTTCATTTCTGTTCATTTCTTTTCTCCTTCCTGCATTAGTTTCTCATGAATTTTTTTTTTTTTTTTTAACAAATAGACCAACAAATGCTCATCTCAAAGAAGTGGCTGAATTAATCTGACTTTAATCTCAATAATAGAGACAAACATTACAGTCTTCTTTATCATTAAGAAATACTCTATTTTTAAATTTATTCATATGAGCACTCAGAAATATTAAACTGAGTTGTTGAGCTGATTTGGACTCAAAAAAAGGTCAAATTTAATTGACTGTGGTTGCTTTTGAGAGTGGAACCTTGAAGAATATATAGCATAGTTTTTATCTCTGCATAAGTTTTCATTAACACATCTATTATATAAAGTTAGGTATGGTTGTGTTCTAGTTTACTACTGTGTCAGAGTTGATTCTGAGTTTATAAAAATAATGTAAGATCATGAAAATTAACCTTACTAAAGGTAAATTTATTTAAAGGATAACAGAAAAGGAAAACACTATATCTTTTGGTCCCTTTGCTTAATTTTTAAAATTCTATTCAGTAAATCTATGCCAATATAGTCCAGTAGAAAAAGCATTGAATTAAAAATTGGGGCTGGTAGGTTTTACAATGGCTCCTAGTAGTCTATAGGTGCTCTAGCATGAATTACCTGGTTGGACACTGACCCCATAGCCACATAGTTTGGTTGGTAAACACAGATTAGATTTTAGATCTTCAGCCAAATGCCTTTGTACGGGGCACACTTTCACAATCATACACAGAATCCCTGTGTTCTATTCCTGTTTCTACCTCTAAACTCTTGGGCAAAGTCATTTTTATCTCCCTGGACTTTTCATCTGTTGATTTTTTTTTTTTTAAGATTTTATTTATCTATTTGTCAGAGAGAAAAAGAGCACAATTGGGGAACGGCAGGCAGAGGGAGAAGCAGACTCCCCACTGAGTGAGGAGCCCTATGTGGGACTCAATCCCAGGACCCTGGGATCATGACCTGAGCCGAAGGCAGATGCTTAACCGACTGAGCCACCCAGGCGCCCCAATTTTGGTGTTTTAACAGGCAATTAACTCAGTAAGAGTCAAATTGCAGACTGTCAGACATACGGGGGGCGTGTATCAGATCTCAATTCAGTTCTTTAATTTAAGCCTTAGTTACAAGCCTCTTTTGGTTTTCCCTTGCATATATGGTTCAGGGGTCAACCAGAGACATGTGCTAAGTTTAAACACAGAGTTAGAGTTAGCCCTTTCTCTGGCTCTCTCCAGGGTTCCCCTCTCGCTCTGGCTCTGGCAGCTCTTGTTGCCTCAGTCTGCTTTTCCTTGTTCCTCTGGCTTGAAAGATGGCAGATTCTGTATTGGCATCTTAGCTGCTTGGTACTGATGCTGCAACTGTGGCTGCCTTCAAGGTAAAACTACAAAAGCCAGTAACTTAGCCCAGGCCAATCACTTGATTCAGGTGTGGACTTCCCTCCAAAAATTGCATGTTTTTGTTCAGTTTCTAAAGAGCCCTCAGGTTACTGGTTTTTATATTTTGTCCAGAGTTTATAGCTCATGCAGTTGGATTGGTTTGGTAAGTGCTCACTCTTCCACTCAGAAAGCAGAGTTTTTTTGGTTTCATTTTAAAGAATAAAACATTACAGATAAATTGAAGTTCCCCTATGTTCCCTTCTCCAATCCTCTTGCCCTCTTTCCATCCCTAGAGGCATCCTCTTTCACCGTTTTGTATGGATCTGGTCCATATGTTTATACTGAAGACAGTACAGCTTGGAGATTTGGAGAGTGGGCTCTGGATTTATTCTGCTAGGAATACCTTTATAAGTTACTTATCCTCTTCTCTATGCCTTAGTTTTCTTATCTGTAAAATGAGGATAATAATATTCACCTAATAGGGTTGATAACAAGAATTGAGATAATGTATATAAAGCACATGGGATAGTGTGTAGCACTTAGTAAACTCTCAGTATATTTTGGTTACTGGTTTTGCATTATTCTTTCCATAGGTGTACTACATATAGTATTTTATTTGGTTTTAAGAATATTTACACAGAGGGATTATTCTCTAAAGCATAAGCATTTTGAGTTCTTCATAATCCTTTCCCTTCACAGCTTTGTTTTCTCTTATTTGTTGTCAAACCATATCTTTTTTCATTTTTAATTGCCTGTGCCAATTACAGTACTTACATATAATAGATGCTCTAGGAAACTTAAAATGAAATGCATGCATTATTGGCCTGGTTTTGTTAACTTCTTGATAAACTATTTATTTCCCCATAGCTGTCTTCTGTACAGGTGGAAGAGATGGAAACATTATGGTCTGGGACACCAGGTGCAACAAAAAAGGTAGCCTAGTTCCATTTTGATTTTAGTAAGTGTGGGATCACCTCATACTTATTCTGAATGAGTTAGTGATTTCATCTGGTTACCACCAGGGGGCACATGTTTATAATCCCCCATGTCTTCGGCTCACCGTTCCAATTCTCAGGATTGTTGTGATTGTTGCAAGTATTACCCTCTGTATTTACCTCATATTGTCTTCTGAACTATGCCACTTACCTAAATTATTGATAGAATTGGAATTATTAATACATGGGCTCAGTGGTTAACGATCTTTTAAAAGTTATTTGGCTTTAAAGAATTGGATTAAATTAAACATAATTATGCTCACATTACACCCATGATGCCATTAAGCAGAATGCAGTGATCATCTCACTGCTTACTTCCTTTTTAAAAAATAATTTATTTTTAATAGGCTATTTTTTCAGAGCAGTTTTAGATGCACAGCAAAATTGAGCAGAAAATACAGGGAGTTCTCTGAGTACTGATATACTCCCTATCGCCACAGCCTTTCCCACTATCAGCATCCCATGGCAGAGTTCGGCATTCGTTTAAGCCGATGCACCTGCATGGATACACCATTAGCACCCAGTGTCCCTCAGTACCTTACAGGAGGGTTAACTCTTAGTATTGCACATTCTATTGGTTTTGACAAATGTGTAATGACATGTGTCTAGCATTATAGTATACAGAATAGTTTCACAACCTCAAAATCCCCTGTGCTCATCCTGCTCTCCCCCGCCAACTCCTGGCAACCACTGATTTTTTTTTTTACTGTTTTACTGTTTGTTACTGTTTCCAACATTTTACCTTTTCCAGAATGTCATATAGTTGAAATCATACAGTATGTAGCCTTTTGAGATTGGCTTCTCTCACTTAATATGTATTTAATGTTCCTCCTTGTCTTTTAATGGCTTGGTAGCTCATTTCTTACCATTGAATAATGTGCCGTTACCTGGATATACCACAGTTTATTCATACATTCATACATTCATCATCAAGAGGACATCTTGATTGCCTCCAAGTTTTGGCATTTAGGAATAAAGCTGCTATAAATATCCATATGCTTATTTCTCTTCTATACATCATAATGGCACCAAAAGAAAGTTCTGCTGGCTTTTAATTTCACTATTAAGAATATAATTAATTTTGAGATTTTATGTGTAAATGTGACATTCAGCATGGGAATAAAGTTCTGAAACCTAAATCAGTTTGCTTGGAATATCTTTCAGATGGATTTTATAGGCAGGTGAATCAAATCAGTGGAGCTCATAATACCTTAGATAAGCAAACCCCTTCAAAACCTAAGAAGAAACAGAATTCAAAAGGACTTGCTCCTTCTGTGGTAAGGTTTTATAGCTGTGTACATGTGTGCAGATCTTAACATGTAGTAAGATAGAATCTCATTTTAGGTAACTTGTTGGGCATAAAATAGGAGCTATAGATTAAGTGAATGAGAATCTTTATTCAGTGGTTTATTACTTACTGCTCAATACCTACAGTAGTGGTTCTCAAACTCTAGTGTGTAACACAGTCACCTAGAAGCATACTAAAAATTCATCTTCCTGAGCCTCATCCCTAGATATCGCCATGCATACACTATCTACAATATAATGTAATTTATTAGAAAAGGGGGGATAGTTTGAAGAAGCATATTAAGTACCATGATATAGTTTTCTATAGGGGGAAGTAATCCCTGTTTTTTACATAACACAAACTACAGGAAATATGTGAGTTTTTAATATTTTAAACATTTGGCAAAATATTTGAATATATTGAAACATTTAGGTAAAATATAATATCTCTAGCATCTTTTACTTAAAGCTTAAACATTGCCCATAATCTTTTTTCTTTAAAAAAAAAAAATCACCATGGCTTTTACTTTAATTTGTTTATTTTTCTAATATTCCTGGTCTGTAAGATCCAAATTAATATGTTGGAGAAGTGTGTTTACTAAAATGTTAGGACTTAAAATTGCATACCAAGAATAGGACACAGGCATGAGTGGAAACTGACAAGATTAACTGTGGTTTTTGGAGGCCAGATGGAGTTAAAATGAATATCATTTCAGACAATCAGAATCTGAGCCAGGAAAACTTGTTAACAGCAATTAGGAGGTGGAATTCCATTGAGATCCTTTAAATTTTTCAGAGCACATAATCATTTTTCATCAATAATTCTTTAGACTTTCCTATGTGACAGTTTAGGTGGATGGTGACATTTTGTAGAATGAAACAGGCACAAGAAAGTTAAATGAGTTTCCTACGGAGACATAGCTTATTAGTAGGACTGATTTTAAGTAGAACCAGTAGGTTTAGACAAATCTTTTATTCACCTGTTTGTTTCTTGAGTACAAGTCAAAGTCAACACTATGTACTATAACTTCATGATGTTTAGGTCATTTTCATGCTAAAATTACTTCTTGGTCAGTATAGATACCTGACTTAAGATTATTGGAGAGGGAATATTTAGTCTAACTCAGAATTTGGGTGGAGGGGAAGCCATCATTTTAGCACCTTGGTCTCTTGATGAAGATTATGGTACCGAAAATAGGACTTTCTTCTTTTTCTGCCCTGTGCTGTCAGGATTTCCAGCAGAGTGTTACTGTGGTCCTCTTTCAAGATGAGAATACGTTAGTCTCAGCGGGAGCCGTAGATGGGTAAGAGCCTTTATTTCTTGGTTCTTTTGATGAGATGTCTTTCATAAACTGTGATAGGGAAGTCACCTAGTCCCATTGTAATTGAATGTATATGCTTTTAACTTTCGACATAGTGAATATCCAGCTGAGAAGAGGAACTACAGATCACACTGAAAAATATCTAGTTAGGACTCTTGCTCAAATAATTAAATGAGGGAATCCATATGTTACACTTAGCACATTATATAGCACATACGAGCAGTGTTGGCTGCTGCTGTTTTTACAGAGAAGCTGGGTGGGTAGCTTGCTTGTCCATGCAGTATAATTTAGGCAGTGAGTCTTATTTTGAGGAATAAAATTTCTATTATTTTGGATTTTTATCTTCTCAGGTTTAGTAATACCCTAAAAGAAGGAATCTGATTCTGGGTATATAATGGACATTTGGGGGAGTAATCTAACAATATTGATAGTAAGGCCTAATGGCTTTCAGATACCTGCCATCTGTGATTGGTCTGAATGTTTGGCTTGCAGATAAGTTTGTGGTACTTCTTAATCGTTTGCTTTGTTACAATAAAAATTCTGAGGTGTTTTTTAAGCACCCTTCTTTGCCCTTTTATTTGCTTATCGTATCTCTTAAGACATCCCTTCCTTCAAAACAAATTTAAAAAGATGATGGCCTAATGAACTAGGATTTCCATTGTGTCTTCTGGACACTAAAACTCGTCTGTGGACCAAATATTCAGGCACAAATGAAGGATTATCTCAAGGTTACTAGTTATGCTTGTGAATGGCTGTGAAACCTTGCTGTTTGTTTCCAAGGATATTGCCCTTTTAGACCAAGCTTTTGTTTTCATGTTGCTGATAAACTAGATGTTGAGGGGGTGCCTGGGTGGCTCAGTAGGTTAGGCGACCTACTCTTGCCTTCTGCTCTGGTCATGATCTCAGGGTTGTGAAATCAAGCCCCGAGTTAAGGCTCCGTGCTCAGCAGGGAGTCTGCTTGGGATTCTCTCTCTCCCCCTTCCCCTCCCCCTGCTCTCACTCGCTCTTTGTCTCTACAAATAAATAACATATTTAAAAAAAAAAAACTACATGTTGAGGATTAAGACAATTATACCAATAGACAAAATGAAAAAATACTTTATTTCACAGGAAAAGGTGTTTAGACCAGATTACTTAAGGAGTTACATATAGAGATAAAACCATAGGAACAGAGCTTGTTACTTAACAATGTTAGAGATTACATGCAGAGTGTTAAAGTCTTAGGAAGCATTTGTTTTGCTTTGTTTTTTTTTCTCTGAAAACAATGAAACAATGACCATCAGAACCCAACCTTCATCTTCCTTTTCCGCTCCCTTGAAGTAAACTCAAGGTAACCCATCGCTGGGTCAGATCACATCTGTTTCCGTTCTGCCTGAGTTGTTAGCCTGACATTGGAAACAACAGTATGAGATAGTTCAATCTGTTTCCCAGTGAGATATCCTCATTATACCTGGTTGATGTGCCAGAGGAGTTAGATTAAAAGTCATTTCACAATGTAGTTGAAACTGGTTGAAGTTGGGGGGGGGCTACAAAATAATTTTCTTTACCTTGGTTTTTAGGGTAATCAAAATATGGGATTTACGTAAGAATTATACTGCTTATCGACAGGAACCCATAGCATCCAAGTCTTTCCTGTACCCAGGTAGCAGCACTCGAAAACTAGGTAAGCCTTTTTATACCCTATAGGACTTTTTTGGAGATGTGAGTTTTTGTTAAAATTTTAAAAATAAATATCAAGCTAGTTTTCAGCAACATATACTCGAGATTAACATTAACTTTTGGAAATTCAAAAGTTAAAAACTCAGAAGAGTATTTTTGGTTTATATATATTTGAGGGAAGAAGAATTCTGATAAACTTGTGGAATGATCTTCTTGCCACAACGTTGTCATCTCAGTTCTACTTGCTGTCATCAGGACATGCTAACTAAAGTTTCCTTTTTCTAGGATACTCAAGTCTGATTTTGGATTCCACGGGCTCTACTTTATTTGCTAACTGCACAGATGACAATATCTACATGTTCAATATGACCGGATTAAAGACTTCTCCAGGTAAGATCTTAGCCATTTAAAATCTCTACCTGGAAAAATAAAATGAAATAAAATCTCTTACCCAGAAATGAATGCAGAGGTTTTTGTTAATGATAATTTAATATTGATCTTTTTTTCTAAACCAAATTTTTTAAGACATAGGAGGGCTCTGGGGTCTTTGATTAGTTCCAGTGATATTTTCATAGGTGTATTTTCCTTGTGATATTTCACAAGTAAACAGAATCCTGCTGTATATGGTGACTTAATTTTATTTTAACAGTGAGTCTTTCCTGAAATTATGTCCCTTTGACTATATTTAGAATTGTCTCAAATTTTATAGGATATAGAAGGCTGTTCTCAGCTTTTTTCTTGTTCGGGGGCTGTTTGTTGGCTGAATTTTTTAAGTCCCTAAATAGTTTTTATTTACCTCAGCCTTCTTAATGTTGAGCAGTGTCTATTTTATTTCTAGTTTTCCCCAACCTCACCTTTTTTTTCCCCTTCCTTTTCCTCCAATTACAATTGGAATCTGGTGTTTAAAGTTGATATATGGCACTTTATTTTTTTTTTTTTTTTAAAGATTTTATTTATTTATTTGAGAGAGAGAATGGGACAGAGAGAGAGAGGATCAGAGGGAGAAGCAGACTCCCCACCGAGCAGGGAGCCCGATGCAGGACTCGATCCCGGGACTCCAGGATCATGACCTGAGCCGAAGGCAGTCGCTTAACCAACTGAGCCACTCAGGCGCCCCGATACATGGCACTTTAAAAAAAGAAATGAAAGTTTCTCAGACATACTCTAAGAAGGTTTTTAGGGTTGCATAATTTTAAGAACATTATCAATTATTTAGGCAAGCCACATATTAGTAACCTAGTTCTAGCTCTGTCAGAAACAGACAGATTCTATAATCCCTAAAGCTACCTACTTCCCACTAAAGTAAGATGTGCTGATAAATAAGAAATCTTAAAATAGTACAGACCTTAGCTAGGCTCTTACAGAAATTTCCAAAGACTGCCCCAAGCCAGTATTAGGAGTTTAAGTTCTGTGACAGCTTCACAGTTGATATTTCCAATGTCCTGGATTAGGTCTGGTGTTGTCTAAATAAGAGCAAGAGTATTTGGAAAAGGGAAGCAGTTTATAACTTCTCCTGCTGTTTTCCTGAATGGAATCAGAACTTGGACAGCTTCTAATTTAGATAGTCATATAAAATAGACTTTTCAAAATCTTTCTCCAAAAGATAAAAGCATAATCCTAATTGTATTATCAAATGTACAAGAGCTCTGTCATTTTTTTGTAGTGTGGCCTTAAAGGGGGCCTTAAGTTTAGTCAAACAAATATGCCCAAGGCTACTTTACTAAAAATTTAGTAACCTTTTTCCTGTGCTCCTAAAGTTATTTTATTGGCTCCTATAGATAGATACGTAGGTAGATATGTTCTTTAGATATTGAGTGACAGATAGACATGTGTATGACATTGGGTAATTGCTTATCTTTTTCAAAACTTCAGAAAGCGTCCTGGGCTTAATTCTTCATCTCCTGTACTTTTAATTTACAGTGTTTTATTATACTAAGTGATGTTCATAAAGATGACTCTGAAGCACTTCATTGAAGCATTTTCGGAGCCCATATTATCAAAGAAAGATTAACTTGAGCTAATCAATGCCAATACAGGTTTTAGGATTTTTTGAATAGTTTGAAGCATTTACAGTGTACTTGATTAGACCAGCAGAGGGCAATAAATACTTACAGGTCTAGTGGGAAATTTGGTCTGTATTTTCCGTTCATAGAGTTAAGATAAACAATTATAGTTTTAGAGTTGTATTCAGAGCAATGGACCCTGTTTATTTTGTGGGGATTTACCTATCACAGTAGATAAAAAGAAAATGCATATCTGAATTGATTCATATTCTGCTTAACGTCCACAGTGGAAGTGTTGATGTGGAGAGTATTTGATATGTAGGCTTTTTCTTGAAAAGTTAGAAATGCAAAGTCTTTTTCCAGTTTTGTTCTGGCAAAAGGAATAGATTTCTGTGAGCACTAAAGGAAAGCTACTAAGTCCCTTGATAATTCTTACTTCCTTTCTGTTAAAAGATTGGAGTGAACTTTTTTTCCTGCTTAAATGTATCCTTAAATTTTCCAGTAACTAAGATTTTTTTTTTTGTATTTCCTATTAGTGTTCTGATACCAGAGGCCTCAGGTTTTGGTCTTCTTAGGATAGTATAACCCATCAAGCACATTGTGCTAGATTGGATTACTTGCCCTTTTACCACAGATAGTAAGAAGTCTAAAACTGAAGGCTAACCCTAACCTAGTTGGAGTATCTTACCTACAGACATATAGCTTACCCCACTAGCTACTTCTTTTCAGCCTGCTTAAAGTTTTGGATTATAAAGATTCCCACAATAGGGGCGCCTGGGTGGCTCAGTCGGTAAAGCGGCTGCCTTTGGCTCAGGTCATGATCCCAGGGTCCCCGGGATCGAGCCCCGCATCGGGCTCCCTGCTCGGCGGGGAGCCTGCCTCTCTGTCTCCCTCTGCCTGCCTCTCTGCCTACCTGTTCTCTCTCTATCTCTCTGTCAAATAAATAAATAAAATCTTTAAAAAAAAAAAAAGATTCCCACAATAAATAAATAAATAGATTGATTGATTCCCACATCCCAAATGAGCTATCCACAAATCTTAACTCTTTCCACTGATTCTTACCTATTAATGCAACAGATATTTGAAGATCTCTGTTCAAAGCACTGTGAGGTATAGTGAGTAAAGAATAAAATATGAAATTTACCCTCAAGATTTGAAGTCTAAGAGGAAGAAGGACCAATGTATTATAATAGGGAAAGCCCTATCCTAGTGTGGGGAAAGAGGGTCTAATAAAGGCATTTTACTAAAAGAGTGAACACTGGTTGTGTTCTTAAGAATGTTTTCCATCACTTTCTCTTCCATAGCCAGCTCCATACCAAGTATCTGGGCTTAGATCATGAGATTGGGTCTAATATAAAACCTCTTTCTGAGTCTTCCTTTACTTTTCTGCCAATGTCCATTTCCCTTTAATTTACTGAATATAGCTTGACTATCTGTTTCAATATTCAATAGTTAATACACTAATAAAACTTACTGGAACATGTATACTTGTCTGCGTTTATGTGAACACTAGAAATAACAAGAACCAAGTAATTTGTTGGGTTTTTTTCCCCCTCTGGCAGTGGCTATCTTCAGTGGACATCAAAACTCTACCTTTTATGTTAAATCAAGTCTTAGTCCAGATGACCAGTTTTTAGTTAGTGGCTCAAGTGATGAAGCTGCCTACATCTGGAAGGTAAGTTATCAAACTTCCCTCACAAATGTAAGACTAAAGTATTCTTACAAATATTTCTTCTCAGATGAGTAAGTTTAATGTAAACACATACTATTAACTTTTTCTACATTAGATGTTCAGTAAAAGTTGCTTCTTGCTTCTTAACACAGCCAAAACTTACTCTGATTGTCAGAATATATCATACTTTCATGGCCAAAGATTCTCAGAAATTGATAATCCATGTACTCCAGCAGTTTCACGGATTATCAGGAAATTCAGAAGACTAGAGAGAACCTTAACTACCTTGTCCTGCTTCCTGGAAAAATATGTTGGATTGCCTTTCTGCTCTGTTTTCAAACTCTTCATTCAAAATACAGTATTTTAATTCCCAGGATCCTATATAGGCCCAAATCAACCAGAGAGCCTTGCACAAAACACTAAAAGATATTTGTATGGTAATTGTGTTCTTTCCTCTCTGTGGCCAGTCTTAAGGTTACTAGAATAGATGTGGCTACTTTATCAGTTTTGTATATATTTAATAGCATTACTTAATTTATTTTACAGATTTCATTTCTGTTCACAAGTTTATTTATTTTCTCTTTTTTCTTACTTTTTAAATAACAGTGATACCTAAAGTGACTACTGTAAGCTAAGAAATTTAAATTTGTCCGTATAAGGTTCAGTGGAGAAAACTGAAATATCACACGAGTAGCACTTGCTGACTACTGAAAAATAGCTCTTGTGGGACTAATTAATTATAGAAATGTCTGGGAGTTCAGAGATATAAGAGCATCATGGCATTGTTTTCCAAGGGCTAGAAATTAATTATCTTCTAGATTGCCATTGTAATATCATAAATGTCCTTGGCATTGGTGAATTGAATGATCAGAGTTAACACATTTTGGATTTTTATTTTTTATTGTTATTTTTTTTAATTAATTTATTTAAGAGAGAGAGAGAGCAAGTGAGCAGGGGAAGGAGCAGAGGAAGAGGGACAAGCAGGCTCTGCACTCAATGCAGTGCCCCACATGGGGTCCAATCCCACGACCCCAAGATCATGACTTGAGCTGAAATCGAGAGTTGGATGCCTAACCAACCAAGCCACCCAGGCGCCCCACATTTTGGATTTTAGAGTCATAATGTCTAAAACTTGATAGATTCATAGGTTCAATGTTATCAAATCCCTTCTCAAGAGGAAATTATATCATTATTAGTCCTGCCAACCTCTAGGAAGTCATATCTTTAATGTTGGCTTAGGATGGGGTAGAACCTGTCAAGTATGAAGCATAATTCTGCTTAATTTCATTTGGTCCTAGAGGACATACTAAAAATGACTTCTCTGTATACCTAGAGGTGCAAAAATACAACACAAACTTAAGGGTGTTTAGTGATTATATCCTAGATGGTCACATGGTGGAGATGTTGTTCTATCCAAGATGCTTTTTTGTGTTGTACTTTCCTCTTTCTACAAGCACATTTCTTTCATGTATTGTATTTTAAAATGAAAATTTGCTTATAAAATATATACTTGAGACTCTCATCCATAAGAGTTTGTACCTAGTTTCTTGTCTATAAAATTTTCTGACTTGAGTTTTAAACTTTAACGATATGTGTTACTAACACTAATGCTTTCTTCTTATACTTAAAATTTTGAGTTTTAAATTTGGTCTTAATGCTTCTTATTTTACTATCTTTTTGTTTTTCCTTTCTCCTTCTCTCACTGTTTTATCTTCATTCCTTATTTTATTATGGCTCCCAACTTAGCAGGAAGATTTTATTCCTACCAAAGTCTGTATCTTTTTAAATTTTTTAGTTCTTTAAAAAAAAATTATATGAAAAACATAATAAAAGATTATGCAAGAAATACTTCTACACTGATCATTTTTATTT